AATTGTGTCTAAGCTTATTATTCCATTTTTATGATTTTTTTCTAACTAGGCTTTTGTAACATATAAAACCTTCCACATTATTATAAATATAAATATTATAAATTATATTAACAAAAATTGTTTTATTGTGGTTTAAAAATTTGTTGCACATTAGGTCTTAAAAATGTTGCATGCAAGGTGGATTTCTATCTATGAGATTCTTATTCAAAGGCATTGTAATTTGGTTGTTATTTAAATGAGTCTCTTGCAAAGTTGCAAAAAAAGTGCAAGTTGCACTTCTTTAGATTGGTGAGCATATAAAAGTTGTGAAACACTACTCAAAACTTGAGTGTTATGAACAATAGAATCTAACTACAAGAATATATAAGCTACTTTATTAATTAGTTCTACATTAATTCTTTTGTTTGATGCTACACAATCTCTATAATAATCAAGTCATTAAAATTATATAATTGATCTCAATTGAGCTATAGGAATTTTGGTTTTCTATTTTTTAAGTACTTGTATTGTTAATGTTTAATCATTGCTTGTTTTGTATAATAATTGGAATAGTCAAATATTGTTGTGATATTAGTTTTTATAATTTTTTGAATATAAATATAATAATAATAGGAAAAATTAGAAATTACTAATCTTCTAAATGATTTTAAATTTTAATAAAAATAATATATTGATATTTTACTAAGATCTAATTAAACACAAGTATATTTGTTGTTTTATCAATCTAAATACTAAATCTGATAAACCTCTTTAAAAATCATTTATCAAATATTTCAGATACCTACCAAATAAAATGTACATTTTGCAATAGAAGCATTGCCTTTGTCTTATTTTAAAACCTCTTACAAACCTATTCCATGTATATTAAATGGAAAAAGAAAATTAAAAATTAATTAATTAAATAGAGATAAGTATCAATTAAATATATAAAATTAGATTATTTAAAAAAAAAACGATTTCTATTTTTGGAATAATTTTTAAAACCTCCTAAATTGTAGATTAGATCTATTTGTGATCATAAAGTTATCAAAACTTCTTTAAGAAATTTCTAATTTTTAAGAAACCATCAGGTTTTATTAAAAATCTAAATTGATGTAATTAACCTAGCTAGATTCTTGGTATGTTTTTTTAAAAAAATCTTTAATCCACTTTTTTAATAGATCCAAATCTCTTTTGCATTTTTGAGTTCCAAAAATGTATCATAATTGGTAGATTTGCTAATAGTATTTTAATATTATTTACATAAAAATTATTAGTTTATAGAATTTATTTTATTTTATAACTATTTATTAAGAATTAAAATGTTCTAATAGTGATAAGAATATTATTATATAAGAAATTATAAAATTAAAATCTTAGAAAGTCTTGAAAGTAATTTTTTTACTTAATATAGTACTTTTATGTTATTTTCTTCTTTATAATAATTTATGTTTAGTTTGTGAGACCAATATTTAAAATAGCCTTTTACTTATATTTACTACTTATTAAAAACATGTAAATAAAAATTAATAGGTAAAAAGAGTACTAAAAATAATATCATAATTTTTTAATAATTTATATTTAAAATAAGATTTATGATTGATTAATTGACTTTGTTGCTAAAAATGAATACTAAGATGTATAAGTAGCTTTATTTTTTATTAGAACCTTAGATATATTATAAGACCTTTTAGAATTTCTTTACAGCTTATATATAATTTTTTGAATTATTATTAAAATATATTTTAAAGCTTTTTTACTCTTAGAAGCCTTTATAAATTAGAGAAAGATTCATAGACTCCATCAGATTTTCATCCAAGTTGGATGTTTTAAAACACTATAGTAAATTTAAATTTGTAAGTAAAGTGATTTTACTAAGAGAAACTAGACTTATTAATAACTAGTAAGAACTTAAGAGAAACTATACTTATTAATAACTAGTAAGAACTTAAGAGAAACTAGACTTATTAATAACTAGTATGAACTTAGGGGAGCATAAGTCTTATATAAATTGTAGCATCTTAGAGGTAATTAGGAAGATAAGACTAAGGTCTTGCAATCACTTTGGAACATCTTACAAGATACTTTTGAGTCTTAGTGAGATTCAAATTCATAATCACATAATCAAATTATACTTGAGATAAATGTTAATTGTTTTATTCATTTATTAATTTTTTATTTCTGTTATATAAATTATTATAATTTTTTAATAGTAAATTTTATTTATTTATTTTTACAACAATGGAAAGATAAGAAATTACATACAAAATTTATATTTTTATATTTTATCTTTTATTATTTATCAAGTTAAAATCTAGTGAACAAACTTTGTTTAGTTTTGAAGTGTGTATTTTTTTGATTTTTTTTTTCCTTCTTTTTCTTTCTTCTTCTCACCCTTTTTTTTCTTTTAAATTATTTGAGATTTTTACTTCACACCACTTATTACAAAAAAATCTTAATTGAGATCACCTTGTAATTTAGATTAAGAGATGAATTTTACCTTTACACTATTCCAACAAAAACTCTCTTATTCCTTTGCTACACATAATTCCAATAAATATGACCATTACCTACCTAAAATCCATAATTACAAACTCTTAAATAATTTGAAATTTTCTTATTTTATTTCTTACTTGCCTATCTAAATTATATTAAATACATGTCTAAATAAATATTTAACAATATTAATTGATTCTAAAGCTGTTCAACATCTTAGTACTTTGACCTTTTTTATCTTTTTTTACTTATTAACTTTTTTTAATCTTATTATGATTTTTATTTTATGATATCTCTTTTTTAAAAGATGATTCCTAGACCTCTTTCTTTTGGCAATATTTTATTCTTTATGGTTTTTTGCTTCAATTACAACTTAATTCTAATTAACTCAATTTTGATCTACTTACAAATTTCTTCCTGTTACTAATCCTTGTTCTGGAATGTTTTTGGTTTCTTTATACAATTACTTCTTGTGAATTAATTATATTGTATAATTACATAAGTACTTGATTCTTGATTTCATTGCATATGTGCTACTTCTTGATTGTAAAGTTTACTGTACATTTTTTTTAATAAAAGAATTAATTAGTAATTTATCGTGTATAGTTTAATGCTACAATTAGAGTAAAGGCTTTCATTCTATTGCAACTACATCTTCTAGGAGTTATTTACCTTATAAAGTTACAGTATTATAAGCTTATCTTTTTCTTGTTCTTCTAAATTGTATTATTACCTTGCCATGTTTGTTTTTTTGATGGCCCTTTCTTCTCGCTCTATTCTTTGTACTTTGCCATAGTTTTCTCATCTTATACACTGTACTCTGTAAACACTCTGTGTGTCACACAACAACAACAACAAACAGCATAACAAAATATAGAACACAATAACAAACAAAAACAACAAATAAAAACAAGTGTGTTCTAAAGGAAGGGTTTGCATTTTTAAAAAGTGCACAGAAGGTATCTGAGCAAAAGGTTACAGAATAGTGTTATTAATAAGGCAGTGGTCCAGGGCTTAATTTAGAAATGAGTATATGTTTTGCATTCTGTAATATATTCTGTGTGGTCATGGTTTGACATACAGTGCCAACATGCTCTCTTTGCATGAACCAAGCAGAGAGTAGCTAAAAGATCCTTTGAATTAAGAAATTCAGCAACTAAAAACTGTTTGATCATCCCAATATTTTGCAAAAGTGTCATAGTTCAGAATTGACTTAACTGCACTATTGAAAACATGACATTAATTCTTTAAATCTTTACAGCAAACATTATTTTTTTTAACACAACTTAGTGCAGCTGTCCTTGCTATCCTGTCATTTAGCCTGAGTTTATAACTGCTATCACAGCAGTAGATAATATGACTGATTACTTCAAAGAGTAATCATGGAAGTGTTCTCCCTTGCAAAATCCAGTTATAGATGCTTTGAAAAGATTCCTTGTTTAAGTAGTGCAATTGACAGACATAAATACTCCCTTTCAAGCAAAATCAACAAGCCTATTACTCAGCAAACGCATTCATTTTGCTACACACAAAACCCAAACTGTAAAGGAGCACAAATATTTCCAAGTTGCCTGTAGTGGATAATGGTAGACTACAAAACCCTGTGACATTAAAAAAATCCAAAAGTACTTATAACTAATATGACTTACAGCAGCCCTTGCTCTCAAACAAAGCCAAACTTTAATCACAGCTGACGCTAATGTTTGAGAATACTGTAGCTACTTTATAATGCTGTTCAGGTGCCTCATTGGTAGTCCGCTTGTCAAACAAGGTAGTCATCCAAAGCATTTCATGTAAACCAACCAGGGCTTGGAAGACACTCAGCATGGATAAAGAAACTCCTTCAAATGGTTCATGTGTGGGACTTTGCACTTTGGCATGATCTGCAATACAAAATACAAAGATAATTCTGAACATGGTTTCCTTGCCAATTTTAATCAGTATGAGAGATCCATTCACAATGGGAAGCTTGGGGGAGAAAGAACCACCTGATTAAGTGCTAGTGCAAGACAAAAATTCAAAGTCTTGAATTGCTTTAGATTTAGTCATTTCACTGGCATTTTTGTTTGTTTTTAGTTTAGTTTCTTGTTGAAGCTGAGGAAGTTTCAGGTGTAACTGAGAGCAGCAGTGGACCAGGTAGAATTGAAATAGTTATTCACAAATTGGTACAGAATACTTTTTTTTTCATGGGCATGTGCCTGAGGGACTGGCCCACTCACTGCCCAGTACTACAATAGAAGAGTGCTCTTGTACCATGGTACCACAAGCAGCTGCCTTAATCTTGTAAGTTGGTGATTGCAGCAGACTACTAGCATGATGCTAATGTGTATTCAAGGGATGACAGATGGTCAATCAAAGATACATCTGTACTAAATTTGGAGGGGCTCAAGAGTCAAGGATTCAACAGGGTTAAATAATATGGACTATATTGTTGAAGGCTGATTTGAGGAGTAATCTTGGCCATGGACTGTGAGGACTTAAGTTCACCAATAAACTGTTGTGATCACATCAATTGTGGTGAGATAGACCCTGAAATGGTGGGCTTGTGCCTCCCATTTGAAGTTTGTATTAGTTAAGAGACAGCCCACCTAAGTAATTGGCTTGCAAGTATCTCAGCCTTTATTCCATCATCAGCCCATATGAGAACATGGTACTGTATATAATCTGCACCTACCTCTGAACTTCCAAGTCCCCATGCAGACCTTCATTGACTTAAGTCTGCACAACCTTTTACCCACTCAGCAAACACTACCACATTTTGCCAAGGTATCTAATAAGATACAGAGCTGATCCATAATACCCACCTAAAGAACAAGTTTAGGCATTATTAGCACCAGAACTTCAGGAACTAGAGCCTGTTCATTCAAGGTTTGACACACCTTGAATTATTTACTAGATGCAGTACATCAAAACCTTTAATGGCATAGAGTCAGTCTAAGATAATTTGGCTCATCCTCACAGCACTTGATTAGTACGGTAACAAGTGTACACTTTGAAGCGCGTGAAAGATTGAAATATACCCAAATTCCGATGTCAAGATGGAACGCAGGCAGTATGAGTGATTCCAGTGCCTGGCTTTTGAATTGAGTAGCGAAAGAAGAATTGGATGAGTAAAAGGACGAGGACTATGAGATAGGCTCTCAGTCTGACTGCAGGATACGGGCACTGAAAGCGTTGGATTCTTCTGCCTCTGACACAACTTCTGATGAGGCCGACATTCAAGTAACAGGGTGAGCTGCAGCAGAGCATCATCGCAAAAATTCGATCGGCATTCGCGACAGGTTTCTTCGATCCCTCTGGAGAATCGTGTACTCGTCTCCTTAATTTAGCCGTTCAGTTAGCAGACCTGTGTTGACACATATTCCAACCGTGACTGACTGATCAGTGACCACTACCATTACAGCAACAAAACAAGAATATCTGCCATGAACTCACTTTCATTCGTTTGAGCAACTGTGTTAATCTTTCGCTAACTTAATCAGCGTATTATGCTAGTGACCACCACAAGGTGAGGAGATTCTCTGCCTATGTCTAGCGATTGTTGCTCGTGACTTCCGAAATTCAACAGTACTACACGTAGAAGCTGACGCTCTAGCACTCTTGCCATTTGATGGCATCTGCAATTGGTAACTGCCACTCTGATATACATTCTGGCTGTGATTAATCGGATACATTGACTGGCATCCGCACATGCCACGCTTTTAAGACATTGTTACAGGTTCAGAGCATGAAACTTACGGATCGGCTCGTTTAGCACTTCGCAGGATGCTTGAACAGCTTGATTGCGGGGCAGCTTCGTTAGGATGCGACTGTGTAGCCAAGTGGGGAAGCTCTTTAGACCGTTATAGTTTTCGGCCACGATAGGGGAGTAGAAGCAAGCTGAGATTTAAGACAGAGTTTTGATTGTAGCGCCTAGGTTACTTACAAGGCTTCTTGCTGTGGTGCACGGCGGGAATGATCTCACGTGTGAGGGTACCGTTGTGCGGGGACATTATTCACTTCACGAGGGACGTCTTGATGATGATGTTGTGAGCCCACCGCAGAATCAATTACAACGGTGACGGGAGTAGGTTGATTTGGAGACTTGTTCATATCGCGCTGGCTAGGCTCAGTAACATCCCTCTGTGCATGTTGGATTTTCGGGTGAGTGCGTTCTGATCTAATCAGTTGTAGCGTCGAAGCGGCCTTGCGGTCCTCGAGTGTGCCGTGAACTCTGGAGCCATTGTTTCTTCATCCGCTGTCCTACAGACTCAACCGCACAAGTCCCCGAAGCCAGCACCGACTCCTGAAAATGTAAGTTATGGCTCTTTTAATCCGCTAGCTGAAGTTACCAGCACAATGGTGTTGCATTGTGCCACTTGTATGCGTAGGATCAGTAGTGCCGTTTCCGGGAGCAGTTTAGTCAGAGGAAGCCCGAAGTCGTTCACTGCAAGCTACCAAATCAGAGTGGCACCGTTGAATCGTTGAACAGGCTCCAGTTCTGAGGACAGTTGTAAAAGACAGCCTGCAATCAAAGAATCTGCGGATTGATGTAACCGAGGATCGGACAGTATGCAATCCAATGTAGTTAACGACGAGGCACCTCGACGAGATTACAGAACCAGGTGTGTCAGCATAGGCCTTGCAGTTGAGTACTTCGATGCAGGTTGGCCGCTGGCTCGCCATGGCCAGAATATAATCTGGCCGAATGGCTTGCAGGGCAAAGATGAACTGCAGGAAAGTTGCGATGCGGAGGGCGCCAAGTCAAACAAGCTAGGATATTGTCGGGATGGCTTCCAAGAGGATCGCATCAAGCCGAAGGTGACAGAAGGAGCTGAAGAGAGGAGTTTTGACGCTCTCGCACAGCAAGTTGACGAGCTTATTGAGAGACAGCCTCAGTTTGCATTTCTGAAACCTTGCAGACAGCTCGAGAAACATTACGCATTCCAAAGAAGCGTAGGAAACAGTAACTTCCACCATGGCGGCAATAAAATTACGGCGACGGAGACGCAGTATAGGAATGAGGAGAGGGAGTTAATGCACGAAGTTTGTGACTTCTCGAGCTTAAGTCACAAACCGCAAGATATTCATCTCAAGCCAGGGTCAAAGACGTCCACCATTACTCAACGGTCTCGAGAAGAGCTTGAAGATGCGCAGACTGAACATTGCAGAGTCCGGGACAGCGATGCTAGGTCTGGAAATACAATTCGTGAGCTTCTGTCGACAGCATCTGGTGCTAACGATGTCGAGCGAGGATTACGGGAGACTACATCAGAGCATCGTGTAAGTGACCGTAAACATCATAATTTGGCTGTGTCCATTCCGTTCAAGTGGGAGGAGAAGCCCGAAAAGCCCCGAAGCATTGCAGCAGCAGCGGAGCGAGCGTTGGCACGCAAATTAACTAATGATGGAATCAAGCTTAACTTATCCCCACAAGACAAATTGCAAACATCAAGCTCTCAAAGAACACGCGACAGGGCAGGGAGGGAGCCAACCAAGGAGCAACATCACGAATTAGAGCAGGAATCAGCACCTAGGAGGAGTACCAGCGAGAGATTTCTCCATGGAGCTGGTCATGTCCGGAGGAATTCAGGCGAATCAAGAATTTGGCGAATCTCTAGCACGCGGTGCAGCATTCACGAGAAAGAGGCTCACATCGATCTCGATGCCCCTGCTGCAGCGAAATGTGAAATGAAGATGTCGGATTCACCATTGTACACTCCGAATAGACAACACAACGCTTCGCCGCCTGCTGTTGCTGTCCCATTCAAGTGGGAGGACGCACCGGGAAAAGCCAAGGTCGACAGAGCGGCCAGAAATCAGACAGAAATTTTACAACTTCCTCCGCGGCTGGTTGTCCCAATACAACGCTCCTCCGGATCCAGCTTTTCTCATGAGCTGCGCGTCTCCGTCGTCTCTCATCCTCTCGCAGGGTTGTTTCCTTGTATGTCGGCCGCTTCCTCGCCGGCCCGACCGCAGTACCATGATCACACATGGATACACCATTATCGCGCCACCAAGAACTTGCTGCAAAAGAATTCACAGCCTCACCATGGCTATGGCGGTCACCAAGATTTACTGTCGTCAAAATCTGGCGATAGAAGCATGAATCGACGCAAGCTGAACAAGTCATTCTCGCAGCCACTGACATCCACGGACTCGTCTCCAAAGTCCAAGCCTCATAAGGTCTTTAGTTCTGAACTCAATGCATCTCATTCATGGATGCAGCAATCTGGCAATAATAACCAAACAGCTTCGGACCCCACTAGCATCCTCCAGAGCAGCTGCCAATCGTCATCGTCTCGCACATACTTGAGCTGTGAATTTGACGCGTTCACCCCACGTACAGCTGATTCTAAAGCGAGTTCCAGCGCCTCTTACGAGTCCCTTGGAGAGGATTTCACCCTCGAGCAAGATCACGAGAGTGTCGCAAACCCGTCCTACATCAACAAGCCCCGCTCGTTCGACTCGAATAACCTTCCGGGCTATTCCGAAATACAGACGGTTCGGGATTTTAGCCGCTCCACAACGACAATCTTTGAGAGGAAGAGAACTCATCCCTCCAAGTCGGAAGGCATTAAAGGCCTGCTCAAGCTCTGCAAATCACATAGCAACTGTCTAGGGAAATCCAAATCCAGTCGGCGGCGGTTGGGCCCTCTCTACAGCCCCGAAGTTTGGGCTCCCACCCTCGCAACGTACTTCCAGCGCCTGGATGTGACCGAGCCTGCAATATCGAGCGGCCTTCTTGACAAGGGCGGAGCGCCCACTTCAAGCGGACACCTAAATTCGAACGGAGACCCTGTCCTCTTGCACAGTAGCCGATCTGAGGCTCATGACACAAGCGTTGAAACCTCTCCAGAAAGGCCCACTAGGCTACCGTATAAAATGCCCAGTGTCGCGGAGCAAGAGCTCGCAGCCAGAAATCCACGCACTTTAGCTGAGAAAATGGAAACAATCATTCACGGAGAGCGCCAAAGAATCTCCCAAACGCTCATGAACAGAGTGTCACCAGTCCGGTTTGACAACCATTGGATATCTCCACGCCACCAAGAGGACTTTCGTCCCTCCCCGGCGTATGCAGCTGCTCTGGAGATGCTGTCCCCAGCCAGGAACCTCGTGTCCAAGCGGCACAAGGCTTCGAACAAACTGCCATCATCCTCTTGGACTGGTCCAAAAACACAACGACGCGTCCAATTCATAGTAAGAACACGAATACTATCCCTATATTCGTATCTTTTGAACATAAAAATCGACGCTTATCTTGAATGCTCAGAACGGCATCCATTTAATGGTTCCGTCATTTTCATGGCTAACCAACTTGCTAACACGATAATTAATGAACTTGTAGATATCCATTTGCAAGACTCTGAAGCGCGTCCTCTTCCGGCAACAAACTCGCAGATCAGTCATTGGCACAACCATGACCTATCACGAAGATAACGCTCCAACCACATTCAAGTTCTCAAAAGTAAGCTATCAATCCAATACATAAACACAATTCTAGCAGCTAATATTGACGCTTCGAAATGCACATTTCATATGTCAACTCCTAGCAATAGAGTGGCTAATATTTTCATTTCATTTGCGCAGCCCAATTGAAGCAATTGACGCAACCTCATGGAAATTCACCGAACCGAAAAGAACACCTGCAAACTCTTCACGAAAGTAAAAAGCTAAACCACAGAGGGCCAAAAGCTGCTGGGACTCGCAACGTAAGCTGTTGAAAAGACGGCGGAGACCGTCAACATTCAGCTCTTAGCAGAAGTTCCATCATTAGTGGCACTAGCACAGTAAAATTGATTCTACACCAATTGGGTAGGGTAAGTGATAGTCGCATACAATGCAAGAAAAGTTGGCCCTAGTTTCATAACTCTCTCATCCTTCATACAAGAACATTTTTCATAACCAGCCCTTCCTACACGACAGAACCCACGCAAACAACCTTCTCTTCCCCGCGGATCATTTTCAAGACCAGTAAAACAATGTCCAACTTCATCCTCCATACCCACCCTCATTTCATCATGCTCACAACGTCATAATCCCCCATGTCATCCGCCACAATCGCTGTACCGAACACCCCTACTTCACTACACGTGCGATCTGTTCTCACAGACCAGACCAACACCTGGCGACACCGACCATTGCACGAACTCCAGTTCTGATTTCCCATCAAATCGATCACCATGTCCAACCCGACATGTAAAATAATGTACTGAAACCTTCCTTCCAAACCATGATTTATACACGACATATGTCACCACTGTCCAGTTCATCACCCGCCTAATCCAATCTATGCCTGTTTATAACTCGCAGCCTACGACTTGTGCAACTCATGCTCTTCTCACACTCCAGATTACAACTCGTGGTCCAACTTCCCACTCCCTCGACCCTTCACGTCCCCTCGCAACACACCGCCAACACAGTCCGTCCACTTCCCACCGCATCTCCGCCCTTCCTCCCTAGCAACCTTAATTCGTCGCTGGGTCATCAATCATCACTCTTCAAGCACAGCTCCTCCCGGACGCCCTGAAGCATTCATGATACCCAACCTCAAGCCATCCCCTCCCAATCCCACTTCTCTGCTCAATTCAACCCCACGCCCACCCCTCCTGCTATGCCCGCTTCACAACAGAACGTGCTGCTATTGACCTGCGCCTCTCCCGATCTGCGTCAGTGCGGTTTGCAATGCCATTTGGACTTGCTCCGCCAAAGCTCGAAGACGTCCTCGACCCTCTCCGGGCGCCACCTGAACCGCACGCATTACCCCCTCTTTGCACCTCTCCCATTCCTCCGCCCGGGCCCAGCAAGACCGGCCCCCATGGCTTCCGTCCATACTCGACAACGAGATCCGATTCACCCCTTCCCCGTACGCGTACGCTAGTCGCAAAGCCACTGACTGCGGCAACCACCCTGCTCCGCCCGCCACGTTCAACTGTGGTAGCGACGACGCGTCAAATGTGAACGTCAGCGTGAACTCCACCGTGTTCCGATGGTGGTTGTGCGTGATGCTGCTTCTACCCTGCGACCCACCACCCACGCCGGACTCATCTTGCTGTGAGTTGCCCTTTTCTCCTCCTCCTCCACCACCGCCTTGTGATTCCAGGCTCAGCTCCACTTGTGGACGAGGGGACGCCCCTTGACCACTTGCATCCCCACCAGGCCCTCCATTTGCCTTCACACAATGACCACCAAAAAACCATGACAACTCGTAAATCACCATTCCCACTCGCTCCACAAACCGCGACTTCGCCATGCGGCTTTCGACCACGTCATAACCGACCAACCATCAAACCAGCACTACTCGACTGGCACGATTCACACCAACACCTCTCCACACATTCCGATCACCAACATACAAGTACAGTCAAGGAACCGTACTCTGGTCGTCGCCACCTTCCACTGAATCAGGATCAGGAACTCCCGCAGCACGGGTACCGGTAGCGTCAACATCGTCACAAACGACGCTAACCGAGACGCATCGTATGGCTCTGACGCCACCCTCCGCGCAAAAAAGTCCCCTATGTCTTGCATTTCTCCCAGTGACAGCTCCACTGCCATGTTCATCACAGGTGCCACTTGCTGGTGCGCTGCGGCTGCTTGCTGTTGTTTGTAACGGTTCACATTGATGGCCTGCAAAAACAGCTGCTGCCGATGCATGCTCACTGCGAACACGCACCCCCTACATCCAACACATTTTTCCATCAACCATAACGCTTGCACGCATTCCTCACAAACTCGCCTTCGCCACGACAACCCAACACCCTTGTCCACCACCACGCTCAACCAACATCACAACCTCCCGGGCCTGTCACATCCACTCCACACTGCTCCTACCTTCCCAATCACCAAACTCAATCACTGCTGCATACAACAACATCAATGCACCTTTCCGCCTACTTTGTCACACAATCCCCCGACTTCTCCCATCTACGCCCTCCCCAACACTCCTGCTCCGTCCCAATGCAATCCTCTCATCTCCACAACGCAAATGACGCACCCCGCCCTACCTGATGAAGAACCTCAAAGCCGGTTGCTCTGGATCGTGATTCAGCAGCGCACCCTCGTTCTGGTTCAGCGTCGATGCCAGCACCTCCCTTAGTATGCCTGGGAACTGTGCGAACAACCACAGTCCGCCTAGGTACCGCAGCGTTCCTCGCAGTACCTTCTTCAGGGCTGCCAGTGGTACCCACGCACCTCCATAGCCGCCATCGTCGCCCATCCCGACCAAGGCTGGATTCAACTCCGCGCGAATCGATATCGCACCTCCCACCCCTGACCCCGTCGCTGTGCTTCTACTGCCTCCGCCCAACCCCGAGCCCCCCTGCATCGCCGCGATCGTGCTCCCCACGCTGTTTCCTGCACGCCCCACTCCACCTCCCGCCTGCCGAGCCCCGCTGTTCGCCCCGGTGCTGGGCGAGCTCAACCCCGTGGCCCCTCCCCCAACGCTGTCTACGCTGCTGCTCATCCCCAACGTCACGTGCTCCACCACGAAAGTCCGAAACTGCGGGCACGGCAACGACCCCCCACCCCCCTTGCCTCCGCTCCGAGGAGGCGGCGCCGGCTGCAGCCACACCTGGTCACCGGCGAAGCACCGCATGTCGATTGCAAAATCTCGCCGGTACACGATCCGTATCCAGTACGCCGACCGCAGCAGCACCGACACGTCCGTCGGCAATAGCGAGCTCGGAACCAAACCCGGCCCAGGATTTCTCCCGCTGTTCGAAGGCATCCCTCCCTGAGGAGTCCCCGGACCTCCGTTGCTGTTCATCCCGTAGTTCACGCTCCCATTCGCGCCCGCCCCTTGCCCCTGTCCCTGCCCCTGCCCTGCACCACCGCTACCGTACGAACTCATCCCAGACCCCGCTGGGCTGGCTCCGGCCCTCGCCGCCATGCCTGTGCCTGGGCTCGGTGACGAAGGCCGATGACTTGACCCGGAAGCTGGCGCGGCCATCCTCGCGGGCCGAATAGCTGCAGCCAGTGCGTGCAAAGGCCCTGCTGTCACCTGGATAGCATCCAACAAAAGCTCTACCTCTCCACCATTGATGTAATCCTCCAAAAACTGCACACGTCCAACCACGCGTTATGCTTTGCTGTGCCCCACAATCCCCCGCATCAACAACCAAATCTTCCTTGGGCCCCAAACAGCAAATGTCCAAACCCAGCATCGGAAAATCACAACAGCAGCAAGGGACTTTCAAAGGGAATGAGGGCCAGTTATATCAACTGGTAGGGGAGTAACCATCCTCATCTGCCTATGTGCACTCCACAACTTTCTTCCAGCTAGAGAAAACCATTTCGTCCGTAACTGCATCAAAGTATGATGCGAATAAACTACCATAATTTCCAATGAATCCAAGCCATCAATGAAATCACTGCCATCAACATCGTATCTTGCCTCGCTCTACCAGCACGCACTTTCACATTCTGCGCTTCACTGTACCTCGCCTACTTCGCTACCAACCTCCAATCGCAAATTCCAGCTCAAGTCGTACCTTCGTGTGTGGCCACAGCTGCTCGGGTGAGTGCATGGTGCAACCCCGTCGGCTCGTTCCCCACTCCACAACAAACCGAGCCATTATGCCTGGCGTCGTACCTACGTACGTGAATGACACGCTCGTCAGCCCCACCGCCTCCACCCTGAACGCCCGCCGCATTATCTCCCACTTCTTCTCCTCCGCTTCACCTGTGTCTCCCACACTCCCACCCCTGCCCTGAGACTTGCCCCACTGCTCGCTCCCTCGCTTCTTCTGCTCTTCTCTGCTTCCCAACAGCTTCCGAATCCCTACCGCAAACGCCCGCGCCCGCCATATCCGTTCCAGATCTTTCACCAGTTTCGTCACGCTGTCGTCTTGCACCGTCGAATACTTCAGAACCAACCCCTCCTGCGTGCACTGCATATGAGAATCATCCTGCGGCGGACTCGCAAACTGTTCTCCCGTCCCACCCACCCCCTCGCTTTGCTTCTGCAGTTTCCACAGCCCGCTGAAATACGCGTCCATGACCTTCACTTCCCATCCTTCGCTCCCGGGCTTGCCTAGGCACAAGCCCATCTGCTGCCACCCATACGAGCCGTCGCTTCTGCTCGGCCTCGTCCTTGGATCTCCGCTTGGCACAGTGCCTGGAAGCCTGAACCGCAGAACCGTCGACGGCTCCCGCAGCCCAACCTCGTTCACGTAGGGTATCCCTTGCGCATCCATCTGCCGAGTCAACCGAGCATGCTTTATGCACAACCTACACCGCTCTTCCACTTGCTGGAAAACCGCGCGGTAAGCACCCGCAGAAGCCTTCCCCTGGTTGGCTGCTCGAACAACAAGCCCATAAGACTGACCCAAAACCGACTGAGACACAGCCGTGCTGCCAACACCCACATGAGACGCTGCCTGGTACGCTGGAACTGGGACCATCTCAAGCCCTGTCCTCCGCCGTTTCCCTCTCTGCCCGCTCGTTGCCAACGCCTGTACCGACGACATCGAGTTGAACAGATCCGTGATCGACCGCTTCCGTTCGCTTTTCTGCGCTGGTGACTTGTCGGACCCACCTGCAATCACCGCGGTGGACGATGCATCTGTGAGACCTCTCATCACTTCCTCCAACCACACTTGCAACATACACCCCAATCAAACATCCGCACCGCCATCACTCCACGAACACTCACGACACACGGCCTCGCCTCTCTCGTATTCCAGCTGTATCAACCACAATCCCTCCCAGCACAATCTGAACCTGACCTCATACTTTGCTCAATATCCTCTTCATTCTGATTCCCCTCAACCATCTCGATATTGCCTCATGCGCGACAACCCCTAAGCCTCCTTCCCTTCACCCGCTGTCGAAACCCAACAAATCAAACACAGCGGACATTACCCAAGTCCAACCCACCATACACATCACACTCTCCTCGCTCTTTTCTCTGCACATCCTGCTCTGCTTCCCTCTAACCAACAATCCCAATCCAATGCATCACAACACGTCCCTCCAAAACCTACCCAACTCTCGCAATGCACAGTACCTCCTAGCCTTCCTTGCTGCTCAACATCCTGGCCCGGACACCCCGAATCTGTCATGTACGGACCCGACGGAGACATGGTTGACTTCCATCCAGGCGAACTCGCCTGTAACAGACCCGATGCTCGCACAAGCTGTGAACCAGATGGAGACCCCGCTTTGCCGATCAAAGGTCTCGAGGTCGGAGCCCCTATTCCACCCCTTGCTTGAGGAACGTGCCTGCCCTGCCGCGACGGCGAGTCCGTCGTTGCAAACGAACCGGGAGTCTTCGAAGATATCGAGTCGATCAACTTCGTGATGTGCTCGTCGTCCAACTCGATAGGCGACGTCGCATTATCCCCCACCGCTACAGGCGATCTCGTATTCCCTGGCTCCTGCTCGCTCGCACTCTGCAGAGGCGACTTTCGATGCGACATCTGGTTCCGAACGTCCATCGGACTCCGCAGCGGGCTCACCCCTGTCATGTTGTGGGGTGACGCACCGTTCACCATCCCTGCTCGACCCAGCCTGTGGCTCCCATCTCCAAAAGCAGGACTTCCTCCCAAAGACTTCCCCTGGTGATACCCGCCGCTCGACATCGAAGGACTCACCATGCTCGGCCCCGCGTTCACGCCGTATCCAACATTCCCGTGTTGCAAAGGAGAACCTGCATGCTGCATTGGCGACCCCCCCTGCAGATTCGACGGAGAATGCACCGTCAACATGTTCCCCTTGTGACTCACTCCGCCCCCCCCGTAATACTGATCTAACCCTGACTGTCCGCCATCCAGTCCCAATCCACCCCCTCTGCTCGGACCTTTCGGCACAGGAGGGATGCCCAACTTACTGTATCCTTCCTCCTCCACTCTCTTCACCACCATGCTGCCACAACCCTCCCTGGCCTCGCTCCCGCTCTGCTCCAGCAGGCTGAACCCAGTATCCTCGCGCAGGATTGGCATCGCTTCAATGTCGATTCTCATCCACCGACTAATGTTGAACGCGCTCGATGCCAGGCTCGCATGTCCCGACGATGACTGCGACTCAGCTTCTAGCAGGGTGAACAGAGGCGTAAAGTTCGCGTCCAGTTGCACACATAGAAAAAACGACTCGTCACAATCCGGAAACCCCATTATCAGCACGTCGCCTCCAAGTTTTGGCCCCTCCGCGGGTACTTTCACAGATGATGCACCTCTCTCGTACAGCTGCCAACATCACCAACCATCAGATCACGACAATCAACCCTTCCTGTACCCTTCACCAATCCACTCCACCCAATCATCTGCGTCACCAACTAACACAACACTCCTCTATCACGTATGCCCAAACCCCGACGCCGCATATCGAGCACGGACTGCAACGTATCACCGCTCTTCCCTCCGACTCACGCACACCCCAAACCTCTTCCCTCAACATCATCTCTCGCTTCCGCTACTCTCCTTCATATGCCAACCACTCACCTTTAGGTTCAACGACTTCCCTATCAGCCCAAAGTAGTGCACCAGACATTTCGTGCGCAGCTTCATGAAGATATCCAGAGCCTGCACACTCCCCAGGTTCAGCGCATCTTCCATTTCCTTCACCATCGGTGCGGCAAGCACCGTGCTTGGACAGCGCAGCAAGAACCGCCCATTCCTGTCAAATTCATCGCCATCACTCCGTCAGCGGACCGTGCAAGTTCCACCATCTACTCCGATCCACCGTTTACTCCTGTAAGCTTTCAAGATTCCCCTACATCTTGCCTAGTTTGTAGCATGCTATGTTACCTCAGCTTGTGTGACTGTCATCAGTCCCACAAAATTCGCCAAACTTCACAAACACCCTCACCATATCACACAATCTCCCCCCCACAACGTCACGTCCCGCTCAGACTGCACTCACCATGACCCTCCCATTTCATCGTCTCCACAATGTCCCAAACGTGCCACAACACTGACGCCTACAACCAATTTTCCATGCAACCTCCATTTGCTACCGTACGCAGCCACAACCCCGTTCCGTGCACCAACAAACCACGACATCCTTACTGCGTTCCATATTACTGCTTCTGTACTGGATCGCACCCCGCCGTCACAACCACACAACCCGACCGGACCTCCAAACCACGATCAAACTGCATCGGCCAATACCTGATGCTGATTCCCAGCGTCATGTGCGACACCCCGAACGCACGAACGCACAGAACTTCCTCCCCAGCCTCCTCCATATTCTCCTCTTCACCACTCGCCTGCAAATACATCCCAAAATACACCGTCATTCACAACCACGTGCCGCACCAACCACTCTTCCGCCCTTTCCGGGCGTCCACCCCCAGTGCACATCCACAACCAGGCTCGCGTCATCGCAGCAATGTTACGGCGTCTGCCCAAACACACTTCCCTTCACCAAAAGATACTCAACGCTGCAAACTCCCTTAAACCGTGTCCTGTTCAGCTCTCACCGACAACCTGGTCGGGACGACCAAACTCGTGCACAACCCACTCAATCACTCCACAACCTGCACTTTCCACTTCATAGATCCACACCGACCACATGTCCAAACCACGAAACCCCTCACCAACGACTCTCCCTGCAACTCAACCACACCTCGCACGAGCTTTCCAGTTCGTCCGGTATCGAACGCCTCAAAACCACGTCGTTGTCGGATTGCCACAAATGCACGCCCCCTTTTAGACCTCGCTGAACCTCCAGCAGTCGTGTGTGTACGCTGCACGAGATAGCCCGCAGCAGCAGCTTCTCCACATTGATACAGCTCGAATCCACCGCAAACTCCGCCTCCATGCCCGTCGCGGAGTCCATCACGGCCGGCGAATGTGAACACCTTATCTGCTGATCTGCACCGTGCTCAATTCTCAGGCTCGGAGGGACCTCCCCCCTCTGTGTTTCCAACCAATACATGATCTTCAGACCTGGAGACCCTCTCACTTTTGCTGCACTTCCCGACTCCACGTCCAACTCTCCAACACCACCCATCCCTTGTCCTGCACTTGCCTGCCCCGCAGCTGGGCCACTCCCACCACCCGTTTCCGACAACTTCTCGTACTTGATTGCGTCTCGCCATCTGCCAACCAACAACGCTTTGATCTGCCGGAACAGGGTGTCCATCACCAGAGCAGTGCAAAACTGGTGCAGGATGGAATACATCAGCCCTAGCGGGTCATCCGACGCTGCCATGCGTCGCTCCAACTCGTCGCCCAGAAAGTACGCTTGAGGATCCGTGAACTGTGTCGGCCCCGACGGCTCCCCCACCAGAATGTCTATCTTCAGAACCCTCCAGTACGATAGGTGACCACGATATCCCAGCGTCAGGTGGGCTTCGAACTCCCCCGCCACCTTGAATATCACCCGCCCGCCCCTCACCTTGATGTCCGTGATCTGTTTTGGCAGTTCGATGTCCAGCAGCCGGGTCCGAAGAACGCTGTTAAGTTTCTTGACGGCGCCCCCTCTCTCTTCTCCGATCAGCACAGGTTGCATTCCCAGATCCTCTATGCATTTCGGCAGCCTGTTGTACGTTCCAGCCACCAAAATCTCCGTTGCAGTAGGTATGTCATACACCGGCGCACGCGCTTGTTGCAACGTTTCATGCAAATAGAACAGAAAGTCCGCTGCCTGGGTGAAGCTCATGTTGTGGTTGGACAGCGTACCAGACAGCTGCTGACACCGCTCCACCAAAGGAATCTGCACAACATCACAAACCCAACCCGTTATTACTACCCACGCGATAACACAACGCCCCCCGCCATCCAGTCCAGAAAATTATCCACTACGTCCACAACTCCACCACGCCTCACGGAGCGTTCTTCCACCATCGTCCAGACCATACCGCACACTCACACCCACACTGCTCGTTCACTGCTTACCCGCCGCTTCAACATCCCCTGACTCAACGACGCACACAACAAACTGGAGGATTATCGGACCAGGCGCTTCACACTGTCACGCCCGACTTGCTGTCGGCACATTGGCGATATCATGCGTGGATACACTCCAGTGCACGAATTCTCCATAATTGTCATGTCCCGCCATCTTGCACAGCACAATGCCGCTCGCATCTGTGAACGAATCCGGACATCCTAGAGCGGCCATGACTGTCGGCTTTCATTACCTATCACAAAACATACCCTCACGAGTTCATGCACACCGCACGCCTCGCCGCTTCTTACTTGGACAAACAAAACGCGAAACGCGCAGGAGGCTCCTCGACCATTTCCCAGTGCCCACCACCGATTCCCAAAGACCTGGACCAACGTGATAGTACGTAGGAACTGCAGGTGCCATGCATTTACCTGGCGACACCATTTCGTAAGAACCGCAATGCGCAGCAGGCGCTGTCGCGTTTTGACGATGTACTTCAGGAGCCCGATCTTCTTCTCCGTGTCGGACAGCTCGGGAGCAGTCTCAGTCAGCTCCTTCAGCCCGGAAACGGATGCTTCTGCGGCTTTTCGCACCAGCACGGAGAAGTCCACAGACCCCAGAGGCGCTGCCTCCGCCATGGCACTCCCCTTCTCCTTCCCTGTTCACGAGTATCCACCTCCTCTAACCCTAAATCCACGCCATTTCTCTCCGCCCTTCCCAATCCGTCCCCCGCAACCCCAAAACCAGCGCTCTCAATTCCGGCTGCACCAAGCACCCCGACCGCCTCTGCACTTCAAAAAACCCTCCAATCGCCAAGATCCAGCATCCAGGCCCTTCCCCACCCCTCCCTACCTACTGCTCGCCACAAACCATTTGTAGCAAAACACCTTAAATCCTTGGCCTCCTCAACCAAGCCAGCTGCCTTGCACACCCGTTCCAAGGCCGAGAAACCAATTCCAGTCCGCACACCTCTGTCGCCGAGGAGCATAGGCGCAACCAGCTCCAGGCGAACCGGAATCGCCCGTCAAACCAACAATCCACACATCCGATGCTCCACAAATCTCCCGCATCCCCGCGAACCCTAAATCCGCTCCACACTGCCCCCAGAATCCATCTCCACGCTCACAAACAACACTCCAATTCATGTACACTACAACCTTGGACCCACACATCCGCTCAAAATCCAGACAGCATCAGCACTTGCAGCAATAAATCACAGCGCCTTAAGACGTCGAACCTCGTCGGAGACGAATTTCCGAGCATCGATAGCATCGCGTTCAAGTGCGTGCGGGTCCCCAGCAACTCACTCACTTGCTCACTCGCTTCACTCTGTGGCCCTGCACTCCCGGCCCTCCTTCCTGCCTCTGCATGAAGCGAAGCCCCTTTTGGTCGGGGTTCTATGGGCAGTGTGAACGGAGTAGGTGAAACGGTTACCGGGGTCTGGCCGGGATGTTGACCGGTTACGTGGAGGAGTCGGGTTTGGGTCCCCCACTTGGAGCGAGGGCGGCCTTGCGTCGTACCCCCACTTGGAGCGAGGGCGGCCTTGCGTCGTACCCACGCTTGAAGCCCTGCTCTTATTTGATTGCCAATGGTTGTTTGTGTGCATTTCTCTCACTAGACGTCTTATTTTTATTTATTAATTGTGTTTGTGTTTGTAAGAAATCTAAAATTTATTTTTGGTCCAAAGAAAAAGAAAAAGAAAAAAACATTATGATCATCATGTATTTTGACCTTTGATAACTTTATTGGTCAACTGCATTTGTTTTTATAAAGTTGTTGATTTTGTACAATTAGACTTCTATGTGTGAGATTTTCTTTCCTTATGCTTTTTGGATTTGTTTAATTTTTTATCAAAAATATGGTTCTCTATTGTCGAATCTTCTTTTCCATGATAAATTATCATTGTAAATACAAGTTAAGTCTTGTAGATGAAAAAAAATTAATAATGTTTTTAAGAAAATTCAAAATATATGTTGATCATATTATGAGTATATTATGTAGTATGTTACAAATAAATTCTTAGAGTCAAATTATTTTGGGTTTTTAAGTTTTTTTTTTTCTTTATTTTGTAAATTCTCATATAGAGCATAGTTTATTGTTTATACTTTTAGAAGTTGTAGTACTGTCATTACTTAAGAGTATATTAATGTAGAAAATTTTCCTTGAAATTTTATTGTTATTAGAGGATGAAGATTTTTTTAAATTTAATATCTAATATATTTGAGATAATATTTAAATCAACCATGTAATCAAATAGGAATGATTAATCTAGTTTGTTTTATTTTTCTTGGAAACTTCACAAAATTTAATATTTATTTTCTTCTCAAATATTTATCAAACTTAAAGAATAAGTTCTCTCCATTTTTATTTTTATTTTTATTTTTTTTTATATTGGTGCTTTCAAAAGAATTAAGTTACGAATAGTAGTTACAAATTGAAATATTTTTAAATGTCACTATAATTTCAAACAAATGTGAAACTAGTGAATTGGTTGTACTTTTCCTTTCTTTTGAGTTTATTCTCTTTAAATTCAATCCAAAATTATTAAATTAAAAATGGAGTAATTCTTTTTTTGAAAGAATTATAGATTTAGAATTTTAAGTTCTTTTCATATATAATTTTAAATTTAAATTCTATTTCTTACGCTATTACTAATTCAACAGAATAATATCACAAAAATGTTTTTACATTCAATTTTTATTTAGAATTTATCTCTATCTTAAATCATGTTGACTTTATTTAACAATCTCTATATTTTTTATTCAATTATATTTAATTTTCAACAAATCTATCCCATTCTATACTAAAATATTTGATGCAATTTTCAATTATATGATTATTTTAGCTATACATTTAATTTATAATATTAATATTAAAATTTTTAAGTAGTATCTATGTTTTTATTTAGATTTTTTCTGTAATTTTTAAAACATATTTTTATTAATCTAAAAACCAAAATCAAAGCTTTAGAATTGTACATTATTTTTTTTCTTCTACATGTTGATTAATCATAAAGATTACTTTTCAAATGCAAAAGTATGTCATTTACTCATATTTTAGTAGCAATTTTTATCGCTACTATATTATACTTAAAATAAAATGTAATTAGATGTTTTTTGTATTACTTCACAAGATACAATAAAATAATTATTTATGCAACAAATACTTATTATGAAAATAATAAACTACTAAAATTTGAATAAATAACGATTTTTTGTTTTAAAATTTAAAAAATGAGGTATTTGTTTTTTTTATAGAAAATAGAACATAAATTTAAAAATAATTTTTGTTATTAATTTCTTAGTTGATATGTATTTATGCTTATAGTGTTTTGAAATAATATTCAAAATTTTCTTTTTAGAAGTATTATTTAAATATTAGAATTAATTAGTATTAATTAACAATTATCTATAAGATTTATTTGTATTCAAACAAATCTATGGTCTATTAAAAAATTAATTATTTTAAAATGATGATTTAAAATTAATCAAAAATAATACATATACATTTCTTATTTATTAACTTTGCAAAAAAGATAACTTACATTACCAATTTAAAGTTAGACATTTATTCTAATAAAAGGTGAACATGATTGAATAAAACACAATAATTCTGGGGGTTTAGCATAAATTTTTTTGAATGTATCTATATAACACAAAAACAAGATAACTTAAAAAATTAATAAATTACATTTAAAGTAAGAATAATACTACATATTTTAATTAGGGAAAAAAAAAAAAAAAAAAAAAAAAAACTACATAATGCTTTGGAATTTTAAGCTCAGTATTAGACAATTTGAGAGCCTTAAGATAGATTTTTTATATTTTTAGTTACCTTACAATAAAAAAATATAAAATTGACCAAAATCCAATTTTACACCAAAATTACATATTAATTATTTTTCAAGAAACCCATAGATTTTTTTAAAAAAAAAGAAAACATGGAACTAAAATAACATGCAACAGAACAAGAAATGAATGGATCTCTCTTTAAGCACTATCTTTCAACAAATTCTTTGACTAACCTTTCTTATCTTTTTTGCTTTTTAAAATCCATCCAACTATCCAAAGTTCTTCAGATATTAGTAAAAACTACAAAATACATTTTACAGCATTCCATGTTGATGAGAAACTATACAGAGTTGAGTAGGGGGCGGAGAGTTGTGTGGTTGAGGGGAATGATATTGCATTGTGTGTCAGTGTTCTTCCCACATATTGCTATACAACCGAGTTTGCATTCTAAAATCATCTCATGGGGCCATGCAAACAATGCAAAACCACATGGATTTGCTGAATCCGGAAGCATCACTGGTCCACCTGATCTCTCTTCATGTCCCAGAAAGAATTGTGTTCTGTTCCCGTTATTGTGCTTTGATGTTCATATTGTGTGCATCTATCTCTAATCTAGTCATTCAGAAGACAAACTTGAATTCCCAGCAAGGCATTTATACCTGATGGGATGATCAGGAAGATGGAAACATGAGCATTTGTTGAAGTGGGTGCTCAAAACGATGCATTCCGAGTGAAGGAGTATTTGAAAGAAAATATTGTTTGGTTGAGTGAAACGAGCTTGAAAGCGCATTGCAAAGAGCAACACACAGTGTTTAACACAAGCGCTACCTAGCCTTCCATCTGGCTGCAGTTTTCTAAGAGAGCTACAAGGTATATGGCGGTCGGCATTCGCTTCGTGTGTTGTGAGTTACCTCTTTTGGATGATGACGGCGTTGCGGAGACCTGCAGCTTCTATTGTTTGTGCAAGATTGGTGAGCTTCTCCGGAGGGAAGCCTACAGTTTGCAGTAGGTAGTTTTCTGAGCTTCCAGGTCGAGCAGCATCAATGAAACTCCGAACGTCAGCGACGGTGTGATCGTTGTTAAAGCGAACGACCATGCGGGTCCCATCTAAAAGCCTCAGCTGCAAGGCAACGCCCACATGTCTCATGTAAGTACATAACCCCTCAGAAATCAACAGAAACTCTGCAGTTCGCAGTAACAACATGGGTTGCCTCCAATTTAGGTGCTTACAGAGGGCGAAACGAAGAGCGATCCAGACAAATACCTGTAATGAAGAGGCCGGCTTGTCCTCGTCAACAATCAAACTCCGTGAGTGCTGTGGTGATGCATCAGCCGCACCCGTCAAGTGAGAAACATCATTGGCGCTTGCAACGGGAGTGGAGCTTCCAATTGTGTGGCCTGCCCCCTGAAATGGTACATATTTGGGTTTTGAAGTTGCCTGCAACATGCAGCATTGTAAAGAAGCTTATTTACTTAAGTGTAATCAAGGATACAATATCACCATTTATTGGTGATGCTTTGCCACCAAATGCCATGCTATGGTGTGCAATTGTAATCACATGTATAGTATAAAATGACCATTAACCTTCCTGTCTTCAATTACCCTTCTTTCAAGGTTCACATGCACCGGAATGCCCCGATCTGAAGGCTCCAATTCACTTGGACATTCTGATCTGTTGATGCTCTGCAGGTTTGGCATATTACAAGTCAGCATTCAATCGCTGTGATAAACTGGTTGCTCACATGAGGTAAGTGGGTTAGTAGGAGACTTGCATCAATTCTCCTACGACATGGTGTACCACAGCAAGGGCAGAATCAGATAGCAAAACATGTTGTGGACTTTCAGGCAGTTATTGAGAGACAAGTCTGTTTACCTCCAGAGAAGGCGAGTTGGAAGGATCATCGAGTCTCCGCAATGGGTCTGCATTAACGGCGATTCCATTGCTCCAGAACTGGACGTCCTTAACAATGGGTTCCGGAGAAATTTGGACTCCAGGCCGATCAACAGCAGCTGGCTCCAGTTGTCGAGTCTGTCCAGACAGGGTATGGGAAGGACCTGAAAAGAATCTATTTCTCAAAGGAGCAGCTGCGCAACGGGGCTCTGCAGCATCATTCTCTCCCAACTTACGTACTCGTTCTAACACGGGCTCCACATCCCGGTGACTGTGCTTCTTGCCAGGATCTTGCACCACCATGCCACTGTTGCTAGTATGCATCAGCACTAAGCACAAAGTTCTTAACAACTTATACGAGTTCAGTATGTTGACAACTTAGAATTGCTCCCCATTACTTTGTGATGGATGCACATTAGCTCCCTGACCACACTTCTAGAACGTCCCGACTGCAAAGATCATGACAAGTTTATAACTACGGCCGTAACGTTTTGCTTCCTATAATGGTGAATAAACAGGCAAGAGCACCTCTTCTCGCCACCAGTGTAATACTCCTGACCCTCAGAATCGCTGTCGGAATCATTCTGATCTTTCAAGTCTCCGAGAGTCGTGACGAAGCCTCGTGACGATGCGCTTCTCTTACCATTCACTTCCTCCATGCCCTTTGGTTTGGTTTGACGGTTGTCGAGAGACCCAACCCGTTGAGGAAGCTCAGGAGGTGCGGCTGAGGAAACAGGGTTCCTCGCACCAGTTAAGGCGCTTCTCGGCATTTGGATTCCAGGAGCCAACAATTCAGACTCAGAGACGCTCACGTTCTCATCTCCCTCCAAATTGCAGACTGCGAAGTTTGTCGCAGTTCCTCCGGCTTGCCCTCCATCGTCAGACCCCAAAAAAAGCTGCACAGCAGGCTCGAGTTGCCATTCGGCGCTTTCAAGAAAGAACCTCGCTTGCTCGTGTGTAGCTGTGGTCATTCTACAGAACCTCACCACCACATCATCGTCATTCTCCATAACTCACAGACCACTACAAGTCCAAATCCAACGTCTCCTTCTCCACGACAATGCTAAAATCACAACCTGGACATTTACAGCAGCAACTTCTGCATTAAGAAAGCACTTTGTATGGGGCATTAACTCGCTGCTGCTTCAGTGCAAGCGATTCAGAAAACTGTCATTTTTTCAAATCCACATGAGAAAACACGTCTAACTTGAGCTGTTATCAATGTAGGTTGGGTTACATAAACAAGTAAATGAGAATGAAAACAACATCCAAGTGTTTGAAGTAGAATTGTGGCAAGGGCATGTGGAGAGATCTGGAAGGAACAGACAGTGTTCCAGGCAATGGTATGGCTATGAAGCGACACAATATAAGCGTCAGTTGTGATCCGAGTGTCCATCTTGCAGCCCCAGAATTGTGTATAAAAAAATAGAGCTACGAAATTGAGGTTTATGTGCTCATCCCTGGCGAATACATCACTGACCTTTTATTATTGCCTTAGCAATTGTGCACAAGACGCTGTATTACTATGGAGCTTGTGTTGTCGTGGTCCTGGATCAAGACATTCTGCATGGAAATATTGAATTTCGTTTTAAACGTTGGTCAGAATGAGTTCAGTGAGGTGGGAATAGAGCACATGAATTGAGAAGTCTTTTATGTGCAGAATATGATTTGTTGATGGGTGATAAAATTCTAGTCTATCAATTATAATGTTAATTTTATCTTTTTTTGAAAGAAATGATTGGATTTAAATCTACGATTTTCTATGATAGCAGTACTAATTGAAAAGATTTGGGGTGTGAAAAGAATAGGCTAACATCTACACTAGTTGAATAGAAATACTTGTCAAACCATTGCAAAAATAATAAAATATTGTTTTTTCAAATTGCAAAGTGAAATGTAATTGTCTAAAGCATAACACAAGAAATTTGATTTTGTTTAGATACACAAAAATAATATTACATAATAAAAATAAAAATAAAAAATATATTTTATACACTTAATAGCTACATTACGTTTACAGTGCAATCAATCTTGAATTTGAAAATTTAATATTTTTGAATTTAACTCGTATAGAGAAAAATAATATATATATATATATATATATATAATTCAAAGGCCTCTTTTTTCTTTAAAAGAAATATGTTAAAGCAATTTATTGATATTTATAAATATATAATATTATATTATAAAATATATAATTTCTATCACATAAAAATTAAATAAATTTTACATATAATTTATATTATATAATATATTTATTTATATGGAAATATTATATTTTCATATACATAATTATATATTATATTATATTATATTATATTATAAAATATAAAATTCATAAATTTTATTTCTATCACATAAAAATTAAATAATATCAGAAAGTGTAATATATAAACAAATAATACTTGTTACACTAAATATTTTTAACAAAAAAAATAAAATAAATAAAGAAAACTATATAAATCTTGCAGTTTTGAAGTATGGTGTAGGTTTAGATTTTAAATATATAAGAAAAAAATTATAACTTTTTAGTTTTGAAAAAAGAAAAAAGAAAATTAAATATTTAATGTCTTATCAAAAAATCTAACATCTTATCTAATTTATAATCATGCAAAAACTATATTATTTATTATAATAAATATAAAATATAAAATTAGATCATTTTATATCATTTGTAAGATCTCTAAGATTATTTATCTAAACCATTATTTATTAACATCTACATGTTTTGACCAACTTACAATCAATTACGTATATGGAAATAGACAAAAATATGTACTTTGCATCATAATAAAAAAACACAATATATATATATATATATATATATATATATGTACATAATAATTCCCTCTATATATATATATATATATATATATACATATATTTATATTTTTTTAGCCATAAAAATGAAATAAAAAATAAAAAATAACTTATCAACTAAAACCAATTATTTTATATCCTACTTTCTTTCTTTCTTTCTTTTTTTCATTTTTTTTAGAAATAAAATAAAAATCCAAGTATTCTTTAGTAATTTATAGTCATTGTCTTTTCAACCAAAATATGAAAATTTTCTATTCGAAAGAAAAATTTATAGTAAAATTATTATTTTTTAAATATCAAAATTAATAAAAATTGAATGCAATAGTTAAAGCATTTTTTTCTTTTTTTTAATAATAATTATAATTTTTATAAAGAAAAATTGATAAATAAACCATATTAAAGTAATTATAAGATTAGATTATTTTTATTAGGTATAGTATTTTTTTTAGACTTTCAAAAAAAAACTTTAAAAAATATGTAAGATTCTTAAGATTTTTTTAAAAAAATATTGTACTAAATATATATAACATTTTTAAGAGAATGTTAAATAGACACATTCTTTTATTAAATAGACCCACTCTTGATGAAGAATATGGTAATTATGATGAATGTGATTGGTTTTTATGGGTTGTAGATTTAATAGTGGAGAAATGAATTTAGAGGTTTTATTTATTTATTTATTTTATTCATGATGATTAGGGTGGCTAGGCTAATTTAGTGAAAACTTGGATCTATTTAATATTTTCCTATTTTAATGCTCTATTTTGGTTAATATTTTTTTTAATCATCAAATTATAATTTCTTATATTGTCAATTAAAATTTCTTGAAATACATAATTTTAAAAAAAAATTATCCATAGCTAAGACTATTAAGAACATGAATTGATACAAAATTCTAAGAGGGGTTATACTTTGTATTATTAAAAGCTTAACTAAAGTTTTAGAAGTTATCGAAGGAGCTAAAACAAAGATTTAAAGATATAAAAATTATTATCACTTACATATAAAATGATATATTTTAGTGAAATTTGAAGGAAATACAATTGTTTGAAGCTAGAAGGTAAAATTTTATATTAATTGATTTACATAAAGAAGTTTTTAAGAAAATTGTCAAAACCTAAAATATAAAATCATACATCTAATTTGATGTTTTTACACTAAAAAGTCTAGGGATTTATTATTCAAATAAAAAGTAAAATTTATTGAAATTGAAGTAAAAAAATATAAATGAAAATAATTATATTATTTTATTTTACTTTTATTTTTTTCTTTTTTATTAAAAATAAATTAAATTTTAATTTATATATATATATTTATTTAATTTATAATTTTTTAAGTTGATTTTATAGAATAAAAGATATGAATGTAATTAATATATAAATTTATAAATTAATTTTTCAAATCCAAAAACAAAATTAAAAATAAATATTTTATAAACATAATAAAAGATATTGAAAGCAATTATAAAAATATTTATAATAAGATTTATTACAAAGTATCTTTTGTAGAATGATTAGTTACAAGATTATCTTAGTTATAGAAATTTCTATTAAAAAAATAAGAAAATAAATAAATAAATAGTCTTATATATTGAATTAATTATTTATTAAGAATAGAAAAGTGTTAGTTGGTGTATAAAGTAGTATTTAAGATAACATAGTTTTCTTTGAGTAGCAATTTCATATCTTCTTCTTTTTTATATTATATCTATTTTTTTAGATTCTTTTATAATTTTACATGTTTTTATTTTGGCTCAGGCTACAAGCATGCTCTAAGTTGTTATATGCACATCCATTATGTCTGTACATAAATCGAAGGCTTTTAATTGGCTCATCCAGATCTATTTTTCCTTGTTATGGTATAGGTCCTAACTCCCTTCTTCTCTTCCTTGCCTCAGTGTGGGTCATGGCCTCCTTTCTTCTTTTCATTGCCTTGACGTGAGTGTCATTGCCTTGCTCTATTTCCCTAGTATGGGTCTCATTGCATTGGCGTGAGTGTCACTGCCTTGATCTATTTTCCTAGCATGGATCTCATTGCATTGGCGTGAGTGTCACTGCCTTCCTCTATTTTCCTAGTATGGGTCTAATTGCCTTGGCATGAGTATCACTGCCTTGCTCTATTTCCCTAGCATGGATCTCATTGCCTTGGTGTGAGTGTCACTGCCTTGTTCAATTTCCCTAGCATGGATCTCATTGCCTTGGCGTGAGTGTCACTGCCTTACTCTATTTTCTTAGCATGAGTCTCATTGCCTTAGCGTGAGTGTCATTGCCTTGCTCTATTTGCCTAGCTGTTATGGACATACACATGTAAGCTAGTAATTATATGTATAAATAAGTAGAAGTAAGTAAAAATACGTAAAAGTAAGTTAATTCTATAATATTTGATATGGTAGCTTCTTAGAAGCTTCATAAACATTGCTTTGACCTTACAGGTGTCTTTAATTGACTTTTTGGGATTAGAAACGTGGTCAACAAGTTGGCCATGTGCCACACATGTTGTTAGCTTGAAGACCAAGCTAACTATGTGGCCTACACATAGAAAAACTTGCCTTGTAAGTCAAGGCATGTGTCCTACAAAGTCAACACATATTGGAGGTCCTATAGAACGTCGCCATGTAGCCTTTAGTAAGATAGTATATATAGAGACAAGAGTGAAGCCTTCTTCACTCTTATCAACTCCTTTCTTGCTTCCAGTCTAGTTTCAAGGGTCTCTAGTTTTCTTGGCTTGTGGCAATAGCCATTCTAGTTTTTTTTTTAATATATATATCAAGTTATTTCTATTTTGACATCTTTCTTTGAAAGAAGTCTCACTTGTTTATTTGTCTTTATCATGTTCTTGTCCTTGATACTAATATGGGTCTGAATGCCTTGGCATGAGTGTCATTGCCTTGCTCTATTTCCCTAGCATGGATCTCATTGCCTTGGCATGAGTCTCACTGCCTTGCTCTATTTCTCTAGTATGGATCTCCTTGCCTTGGCGTGAGTCTCACTGCCTTATTCTATTTCTCTAGCATGGGTATCATTGCCTTGGCGTGAGTCTCATTGCCTTGCTCTATTTTCCTAGTACTAGTTCCAACCTCCTTCCCTCTTTTTCTTGCCTAAATGTGGATCCCAATTCAAGTCCATGCCATCTATAGTATAACTATAGACAATAGTTGTTGGATTGCACATATTTACTTGATTGGATCTTAGCTCTTACACTTTGCCTCTTTTAAAAATTCATCACTAATTTAGTTGCTCATCTATTTAATTGTGGTGATCAATGTTAGAGATTTGAATTAAAATTATTAATTTATCATTCTTTCTCTTCCCTTTGCGCCAAACATTACACCAAAGTTCCATGCATGTAGCCAAATATTGTGCACTATGATTATGTCATCCACACCAATGTGGAATGTAGATTAAGAGAAATGCCAAAAATTGAACTTGGGGACTTACACTCAACCAGTGATATAAAGGGCGAGAATCATTAAAATGTACAAGTTCACCTTTCATCTTCTAATGTACGAGTTTTAGTCCTCACTAAGGCAAGGAAGAGATGGAAGGAGGTGGGATCCATGTTAGAAGAAGAAAAAGAGAGATGGGAATTGGGACCTCCACCATCGAAAGAAAGAGAAACTATGGGATCCATGTTAGGGCAATAAAGAAAAGAAGGGAGGTTGAGATGTATATCAAGCAAAGGAAGAGAAGAAGGGGACTAGGACCACATTGAGACAAGAAAAAAAGAATATGGATGAGCTAACTTGAAGGCTTGGATTTGTTTATAGACACAATGGGTGCGTATATAGCAACTTGAGGTATGCTTGTAGCTTAAACCTTTTAGTTATTGTGTAAAGATTTAGAATTTTTTAAAAATATTATTATTATTTTTTTAAATGTTGAAGACATAGATCTTTTGTTAAAATTCTTTCTTATAATATGTATATATGTATGTATGTGTGTATATATGTACAAATTTTTTCTGAATTTGTATAAAAAGAAACAACAGAAACAACTTATTAAATAAAACTATAACAAAAAAAAAACAAAAAAAGACTTAAAAATCATTTGGGAATGTTAAAATATCTTTATTAAATTTTAATAATAGTTTTAGAAATAAACTATAAATTTTATTTATTTTTAATTATTTTCTTAATAAATGACTAAATTCCACAAATTTTGATTCAAGATAATCTTACAAAATCTTTTTGAATAAAAATATTGATAAAGTTGTAAAATGATATGTTAGATAATTTCAAAGAAATTGTTGAGATTTAGAAGTGTATAATTGATAGAGATGTGTTTTTATTGATAACTAGTTCTAAATTGTACTTTTGAAGTAAAAATAATATTTATGGAAGAAGACATATTTGGTTTAAACTAATTGCCAAACAGTTAAATTCACTTTTAAAATATCATTTTTGAACTTGTATTACATCTGTAATATTTCTTCAAAATATGCATATGAAATCTTGGGTAAAAGCTATTTACAGTTAATAATAGGAAAAAAAAAAAAAAAAAAAAAAAAAAAGTACTGTAATCACGCTTGAACTGGTTGGTATATTTTAGAATTAGGTACTAGAAAATAATAATCAATCAATCAATCAATCAATGTTGGCATAGGATAAATATAATTATATTTATACATATTATTTTTTTTGCAAAATCATATCACATATTCTATTTAATTGGTTTTTTTTTTTAGAAAAAAAATGAATGACTAAATGGTGTTTTTCTTAAAGCAAGTAGCCAATGTTATTTTTTTCAATATCATTTAGAAGAGCTTCAATAATAGTCAGATCTGCTAAACCATATATATATAAAGCTTAAAAATGTCAAATCTTAATTTAGAATTGTCACAAAAAACTTCATACTAAACAAGTATTACTCATTTTCTAAGATAGTTGACGTAAAGCATCTTTTAATTGTAACCTTTAATCGCCCATACTTATTGCTGCTCTCATTATCTTCTGGAATTTTGTGAAGTTGCAAAGGAACCCAGAGAACCCATGTTAACAGTGTAATGTGACTTCAACCAACGACGCAAGGCCTTGATACGTTATGCCCTAAAGTGCCGTGGCACGACATCATGGGGCTTAAGTTTGTTCAGGTGCAGTGACAAACAGTAAAATAAGCACCGATTTTAGGGTTTGAACAGAGGAAGCATGAAGTAAACACTAATTCCAAATGCAGCTTGAAGCCCTAATTCCAGTGCAGCTTGTGCTGCATGAAGCCCCCAAGCGACGTCGGCGATGGAGCATGAACGTTGTTTGTTCAGGGACGGGGGCTGGGGCGGGCAGGGCTCTCCGCGAAGCACGATGAGGAATGGATACGGAACCAGCCACAACAATCTTGTGTGTGAGGAGCTGTTTTGTCTCTGTGCACAACGGACGGTGTACAAACGACGAAGCAGCTGGAGACCACAGGAATCTGAGAGCTCACGATTCGTCAAGCGCAAAACGCATTAGCACTCACAGGTGGACTAAGAGTGAGAGAGAGAGAGAGAGAGAGAGAGAGAGGCAACGATTGAGAAATAAATATCTTCTATCCTCACTGTGGGAAATTGCACATTGGGAATTGATTTCTTATGAGGAGCGCGGTACATTCTTGCAAAAGATCCCAGCGGCCACTGGCAGCGCAAAGGCAACGCTGAAACCATCCGTTGGGCATCTTTCGCAGGGCTCCGTCTGGTGTTTCCCTGGCCCCACGTTGCCCATAGCGTCCGCAAACTATGTCCTCAACGATGTCTTGAATGGTGAACCTTGGATAGGAGCAACAAAGACCAATGGTTGTTTGCGACGACCGGGGAAGCGGGGCCCAGAGACGGCAGGGAATGACGTACCGGTCATCCCAGAGGGGCTATTGGAGCGCCAAATGTTCTCGACTCGCGCCATCTTGGCTCCTCCACATTCTACTCAGCTGTCTCCCCTCGAATCTTCCCCTGTGGGGTGCCCCTGTATCGAGCCTCCCATCATTGTATGCCTCACATCTAGCGTACAAATTGGCCAGTTTTCTCGCTCACGGAGACATTCGATTAGAGCTAGGGGTTGAGGTTGAGACTCTGCGTAGCAGTAGGGCTCCTTTGAACGGCTGCAGTCTTCAACATTGCAAGTTGCGGTTGGTGTGATGTGCGTTTCAGGTGTGTGAATCTCTGTCTCATCTGTGCGTTTCAAGGTGTAGTTTTTGTTGCATTGTGTCGAGTTTTCTGGTGGATTTTAAGTCGTATTTTGGCTTTGTGATTTTGGGGGATTTCGCATTTTTGAGTGACTCTGAAAGAATCTCCTGTTGCAACACGTTCTTTTGTGTTTTGGTTTTTGAGCTTTCATCTTATATGTTGATTGTTATTGTCACTTCGAGGACAATGTGGTGTGATTTCATCATTCGGTGATGTTTTTCAAGTTAGTGTTGCGTATCGAAAGACGTTTTGCGGTTATAATGTCAGTTTATCGAGGTCAACAACGGAATTAACTTCGTGTTCATTCGACAGGTCTATTTGCGTTACGCGGCTAGAGGCTGTTGATCCCCGTTATTCAGTCAAGAATCGATTGTGGCGGAGTTTGGTTGTATTTCACTTGACAATGGCTACCGCAGGAGCAGTTAGAGTCTGGACGCCATGCCTACCGCAGGAGCAGTTAGAATCTTCCCTCTCGTCGGGTTTGACTCGTTCTGGCTCTGTGCCTAGGAGAATTCCCGCAGCTCCCCTGGCGCCTTTGTCATGGGGTAGCTCCTTTTTGTCTCAAATCTCCCCAGCGAGGCCAATCCAACGCATCCAGAGCCAGATTGCGCATGCTGCCAGCAGCAGGACGGATTTTCAAATTAAGAGCGTCCCGACCAAGCCCATCGAGGGGCAGAAGACCGGCACAAGTGGGTTGAGGAAGAAGGTGAAGGTATTCATGCAGGAGAACTACCTCGCAAATTGGATTCAGGCATTGTTTGACTCCATTCCCGAGGAGGATGTCAAGGGTAGCACTATTGTGCTTGGAGGAGATGGGCGGTACTTCAACAAAGAAGCCTCTCAAATCATCATCAAAATTGCTGCCGCCAATGGAGTGGGCAAAATTATGGTTGGAAAAGATGGCATCATTTCAACTCCTGCTGTCTCTGCTATAATTCGCAAGAGGGGGGCTGATGGAGGGTTTATCATGAGCGCCAGCCACAACCCCGCCGGTCCGGAAGAGGATTGGGGCATCAAGTACAATTATAAGAGTGGACAGCCAGCACCGGAGTCGATCACAGATAAGATCTATGATAACACGACGAGCATCAAGGAGATTAAGATGGCAGACCTTCCCGATGTGGACCTTGCAGCTGTGGGCACCACCGATTTCGGTGGGTTCACGGTGGAAGTAATTGACCCTGTGGAGGATTATCTAGAATTGCTGAAGGAAGTATTCGACTTTGACTTGATCCGCAGTCTCCTTGCCAGGCCGAACTTCAGGTTTAAGTTTGACGCCATGCACGCTGTGACTGGCGCCTACGCCAAGACTATCTTTGTCGATACCTTGGGCGCATCAGAAGACTCCATTATTAACGGCATTCCCAAGGACGATTTCGGAGGGGGCCACCCCGATCCCAACCTGACGTACGCCCACGAGCTCGTTGATATCATGTATGGCCCCGATGCTCCTGTTTTTGGTGCTGCAAGTGATGGGGACGGCGATCGTAACATGATTCTTGGAGACCACTTCTTCGTGACACCCTCCGACTCAGTGGCCGTGATCGCTGCAAATGCGCAGCAATCCATTCCATACTTCAGTAGCGGATTGAAGGGGTTGGCCAGATCCATGCCGACAAGTGGGGCTCTCGACTCCGTTGCGAAGAAGTTGGATTTGCCGTTCTTTGAGGTTCCCACAGGGTGGAAATTCTTTGGTAATCTGATGGACGCCGGGAAGCTTTCAGTCTGCGGAGAAGAGAGTTTCGGCACTGGCTCCGATCACATCAGAGAGAAGGACGGCATCTGGGCCGTCCTCGCTTGGCTCAACATTTTGGCACACAAGAACAGAGATGTCCAACCTGACGAGCCTCTCGTTTCCGTAGTCGACATTGTCAAGGAGCACTGGGCCACCTACGGCCGCAACTTTTTCGTCCGCTACGACTACGAGTCTTGCGAATCTGAGGGAGCCAACAACATGGTGGCCCATCTGAGAGACATCCTCTCGAAGAGCAAGGAGGGCGACAAGTATGGCGTTTACACCCTCAAGCTCGCGGATGACTTCACATACACCGATCCGGTGGACGGCAGCGTTGCCGCAAAGCAAGGCATCAGATTTATCTTCACGGATGGATCCAGAATCATTTTCCGGTTGTCCGGCACTGGATCAGCCGGCGCAACCATCCGGTTGTATGTGGAGAAGTTTGAGCTTGACTCCTCCAACCATGATATGGACGCTCAGGAGGCCCTGAAGCCTTTGATTGACATCGCTCTGTCAATCTCTAAGCTGCAAGAGTTCACTGGTCGGGAGAAGCCCACTGTGATCACATAGAGTGGGCAAATCCTCTGCTGTGCATTATTTTCTTTTCTTTTTTCTTTTTTTTCTTTTCTCCTCACATTCCATGTGAATTCACTTTTGACAGGGACAAATAATTAGAGGTAAAACCTTAGATCTTACTCTTTTACGGGAGAGAAAAGGTGGGTTCAGTTCAGTTTTGTAACAGGTGTAATTTTGGATTATGTCAAAACTTAATCTGATCTTCTAGCAGCAGCAGTGAGTGTAGGATTGAGAGTGAAGCGGTTTCATATTGCTTCTAACCCTTTTACTGGAAGGTTTGGGTCTTCAACTCTAGGGAGAGACTCGTCAGTTGAAACTAGTTAGACTTCAGGAAATTGCAGCTTTTTTCCTTAATCTGCCGCAAAATGACTACTATAATGGGATAAGTCTCGGTCATTTGAGTACCTTGAGTAGACCTTGCATTTGAGTTGCTCCTTGAGGTGAAAGTCTCAGACGTGTACGTCTCATCTTTCAGTTTCAAATGTAAACATACCCCCTTGCTGCTGATTAGGATCGTTCATTCTCATTATGATACTCCTCAAATCATCGCTCATTTCGCTTTCTCTGAAAAGGCGTATCCTTCCTATCAAATTCACGTTGCATCAATGATCTAAAACCAAAATGAAATCTGCCAAAAAAATAAAATATTGTAAAATACGCAATAACTTCTGTTGACATTTTCAAGTATCTTTCTAACAATGTAGCACAAATGATACTTATTAACAAACCAAGTACAACCCTTATTAGTATTGCATAATGCACATTCAAACACGTAATCAGTACATATTCCTTTTTGAAATAAGAAAAATTACTACATCTCAATACTATTTACTATTTTCAATAATGATCCATCAATAACTGTAACCCAAGTATTCATCTGGGTTTCTTTCAGCGACGGTTTGGCCGAGCGGTCTAAGGCGCTGGATTTAGGCTCCAGTCCGGAAGGGCGTGGGTTCAAATCCCACAGCCGTCACTACTTTTCTTTCAACTAGTTTGGACCTTCTGAAATCGTGCAAGCGCGACCAAGGGTGATTCAGTGGAAGGATCTGTCCTCCGAAGGCGGGAAGAACAGGGGAATGTTATGATTGTTAATTGAAAACCTAACCCCGTTTTTGCAATAGCCGTAGTGATGTCTTGTCCAGTTTGACTTAATTTCGTAACCATTTTTAGAAGCGAGCACATTTCGAACTTCATGTGCAAACTTCCAGCTTATCGGTCAAACAACAGCGGTTATGAACAGCACCTACATGACTGGATTTAAAACACATCCTTGTGTTTTTATAGAGGTGCACAACTGTGGTTCCTTTGAATGCGGAGAAGTTGCTAGCCGAACAGCAAAAGGATTTTTGCCAACTTCTGCGAAATGGTGTAACGCATTCCTCGAGGATAGACTGAAAATACCAAAGCATCTTCGCGAAGAGGCCTCGCAGTGCCGGAATCTTACTTTTCTAATTCTGTCGACACATTGATGATGTAACGTTAACATTTCACCGATCCGCAAGCAGGTACGTGTTGATAATCTGGAATCTGAATTCGGCTAGTGAACTCAAGTTCTCTCAATTGCAAACATTAGTGTAGGAAGACTGTCACTGGTCAGAATCTGTTTTACTACAGACAACAATGTAATCCAGCAAGCATGAGCAGTACTTGATGAGAGCAAAAACAATGATGCAAATGCGACTGTGCAGGTGCTAAATTAAGCTCGATATCCTCGAGTAGACCAGAAGCGACACTCTGACAGCGATTCCATTGTGTGCGTTTACTATCCGCGAAAGAGAGTAGGTTTTTTGAATCCTCTCGGCAGATCATGAGAGTCGGCATCCGTTTCATTTCTTCCCTCAATCTAAGTCCTGCGTCCCTTTCATGCCGAGGTCCTGCGCCTGTCAGAGACATCTCCCGTGAATCACTTGCTCTCGAATCGTTCCACCCCTTTCCTCGCCGACTACGTAGTACTCGACCATTTAACCAAGGAGTTAGTTGCCTACAACCGTCTATGTTACAAATTGGAATTCACTGTTGAAAAAGATAATTTGACTAACAAACTGACACTCAAAATTCCATCGTGGTTGCAAATTAAGTTGGATCTGGAATCTGGAATCTGGACCTCTTCAGAAATTCATTCAACATCGAGTGTGCTGTCAATTCAAAATTTACAAATCTGTACAAGCTGCGAGAAGCAAGATCTGTGTTGCACTAATGGCAGACTCTTCACAGCATTGCTGTACATCTAAATCGATTCTGTAAGCTCGCAACCAAATCAATGGGCCTAAGAGAGGTTCCAAGTTCCAAGTCCACAACCAATTCTGACTATCTACATTTCTAGTTTACACAATCAATCCTCCGGAGAGCTCTTCGATCAGGTCATCGTAGATGGCTTTCTCCAGTTTGAGGCAAATGCGATCAACGTCGTGGTAGAGCGCCAACCACGAGCTAGAGGATTTCAGGTCCTGCGCTACAAGACTTTCGAGGTAGTCATTGTGCGAGTCGTGGCAGCGACCAGGGAACTGCCGCTTTTGAATCTCGATCCAGATATCTTCCACGACCTTCCTTGCATTCGACATCATTAAGGATGATAGTGAGACATTACGAGATTCAGTCACTTGCAACCCAAGCTGATGGTAGCATTGAGGCTCTAGTCTTGCAACTATTATCTCGTTCACTGCGTCAAAAAGAATTCGCCGTCTTGAACCTCCCCGCTTGTCATGACAATACGAGGCTTCTAAGCTGTTGAAGAGATGAAGACTGATCGGTTGCGTGGAGGAATGCCACCGGCTAATGCTCCGCCCGCCGTGAGTGTGGAATCCCGAGGTCACAAGAACGTCCCTCACAAATGCGAAATCTACCTCAGAACCCGCAGGACATGGTAACGCCTTGAACCCGCAGTGCAGGCTCTCCTGCCGCAAATTCGTTGAGATTCGACTTGAATCACTAATGGAGTCTCGGGTGCCACCTCTTCGTGTGTGTAGAGGGACGCACGCCGGGGCAATCTCTGCGACACTCTCTAGGTCGTCTCTCACTCTTGAATCGATTTTATCAGCTTTCAAAAGCCTCAATCGTATTTGGAGTTCTGTTAGACCACAAGAAGATTAGAAGAAGAAATGAAGCACATTGTGCACGCAACCGACAGATCTACGCAAGAAAGAGAATTATGAGGATTGAAAGAAGGTAGCTGACCTTGAAAGTCATCTGCGATTTCTTTGAACTCAAGAGGACTGGGGGAATCCTCCGACTCGAAAGTTGGATCTAAAACAGAGACAGGACTTGGCTGTTCATTCTTGTCGCTGCTCGAATCCTGGCCAGCCTCATTCACATTATGTAGAATGTCTGGCACCGTGGTCCGTGCTCCTGAAGGCTCCAGTCTTTTATTTGCATTCTGAACCTGCATGGCACACCAAAATTTGAAGCTTCAGTCCCTAACTCGCAACCAATTCCAAAGAAAATCCCACAGAAAACAGCCATCATTTCACAATTTCTCTGCACAAACAATTTTTGAGATCTGGAAGTCAAGCATACCTTTCGTGTCTGTGGTGAGGGCGGACACACATTGCTTCGAAGCCGTTGGCGTGCTGTGGTAGGGCTAGCGGCGGTCGACTTGGGTCTGGAAGGCGGGGTCAGCTGAGAGAGCACTTCTAAGAACTCATCCTCGCAGGAGCCGGGTTCGGACTCCGCGTCGCTTTCAGGAATGACGCTCTCGTCGGGTGGCGAAGATTCGTGGAATCGTTTAAAAAATTCACCGTGTATCAATGGCTTTGAAGGTAGGATCATCTCCCTCGGGTTTTCCTTTCCCTTCTTCGACCCATTTCTGCTAGACCGGGCATGAACCTTGCTTGTCGCCGCGTTGTCTGCATCGCTTAAGGTATTACTATGTGAGACGCAGGATTCAGCAAGAGCAGCAACGCGCGCTAGTACAGGACCTGGCGTTGAATGCATGGATTCCGAGCTATCCCCCCCTTTCTTCCTGCCAATTGAGAAGAGGCCCTTCTTCTTTTCATCGCATTGACGGTCCTTTGCAGGATTGGACACTACCTCCGGCCTGGGCTTTGAGAGCATACGAGCTGCCTTAGTGGCACATTGCCCCCGCTCTCGCAACAAGGCCACGTTTGGCACCGATCGACATCGAGTAAGACTCGACCCAGGCTCGCTGGCGCCATCGACATGCTTCAAGCTGCCGCTGTTAACTGCAGGCTTCAAGGCATTTCTCTGGGTGCTACTTTCACTTACAGAAGCCGACCTCCGCATGGGACTCTTCGCCACCTCGGCGCTGGAGCGTGGAGATCCAGGTCGGGGGGATTTTGATGCAAACGTCGTCTTCTTAGCAGTGGCCTTTTCCGCTGCATTTAATGTGACCGAATTTTCAATTGGACCCCTGGGTTCAGGGTTTAGGGGTTTCTCAGCTGTCCGCTTTTGCGTTGCCTTTGCTCTGGTTGCTACTTCGTTTGAACGAGGAGCGAAGAGGTGAGGGGAGCTCGGCAGACTAATGCATGACCTGATCACATTTTCTCTGACAACCTTCACTGAAGGTGTCGTCATGCCTTCACCATCACTCGTGCATGCCATATCCTCCATAACCGGTGTCTGAAATGAAATGCGCTTGCCGGTGGAGAGAGTCTTTGTCAACGAGATGTTGTTCGTCGACTTCCAGGAGCCTAACCCTTCACGAGCCTTTTTGGCAATCTCTCGCGCGATGTCTGAGGAGTCTCGCCCTGAACTTCGCAAATGTTCCTTGCTGATACTCTTGGCAACTCCAACATCCTCTCCCGCTGCGCTATCCTGTCGGCCTCTTTGCCGCAGCCTTTCTTTGATCTCTCCGATGACATCTCGAGCAACATTCTTGTTGCTGCTTTTGACCTCGTCTTTCGGCACCTTCGGGGAAACGGATGGAGACACGTGCCTCGAATTCGTTGAGCTTGACGACCTACGGATCACATTCTCCGAGGTTTCTCTTGATACTGTGTTCTCACTTCGAGAACTGTTGCAGTTCTCAACTGCTGGCTGGGGTCCCGCGCCAGATGGGATAGTAGCTGGCTCGTGCCTCTTATTCTCGTTTCGTCTCCTAGAATCGGATGGCATGAAGAGACGAGTGATAGCGCGAGGACTGAACCCCTCCCGCTTCCGCTCCACAGAGTCTTTGGGAGTAGATGGTGAGCTACTTTTCCCCTTCTTAGGTTGAATGACTGGTGTTGTGGCATTTGAGACTTCGTTGCTGAACACGATGTGAGGTTTTTGCTGAAGGAACTGAAAAATGAAGTCCTTATTGCATTGCAAAAATTCCATTGCATCAAGGAACTCCTTAGATTCCTCAAATTTTCCCTGACCATTGAGACGCTGCTTCGGTTCAGCAACGATCCCTTGTGACAATGCTATTCTAGCTTTATCCAGTGTAGCCCGCACTTTGTTTTTCTTCTCTTCTAGTTGGTGATTCATGTCCTCCAGCTGGGAGTTTCGGGCGCGCTCTTTTTGCTTCGCCTCGAATTCGATCTTAAACTTCTGCAGCTGCTCTTCTTGCGGGTGGTCTCGGAATGTAAGCACCGGAGCGAGCAATCTCTCTTCTTTGCCCTCACTCGCAGGAGTACGCTGCGAATTCCGAGGCAGAGGAGGACGCTGCCAGGATGACGGTACTGCACCATGCGAATGCTGCCTGAACAAAACTGGGCTTCCTTCAGCTTGCTTGGCACATCCATAAGTGGGCATTTCTTGCAAAGATATCCGAGGGCGCACGGTTAGAAGCTCATCCGGCATGGCATCCAAGCCCATCAGCCTGGCCACAATGTTGGGAACACGTCTCTTAGTCTCCGCTGCTGACTGCTTAGATCTTTCATGTCCCAAGGTGCGTGATGCGCTGCTACACTGCCATTTCGCACCACTCGCAACAAGGCCGAGGTTGTAGCATTCGTAGCCAAACTGCAATGAAACGTTGCGCACCTTAATGTTGTAATCTTTGACGAAACTGGGTAACAGTTAATAACTTCCAGAAACTAACAGCTGCAATCAAGCAGTACATTAACACTCACAGGAATGTCCTCGGGCCTGGAGGAGTTTCTCCTCTCAATGCCAGCGGCTTCACCCGGTACGTCTAAACTGTTCCTTGGCGCCTCCAAACCTGTACGAGAGAAACAGCAAAATAAATGAATAAATAAATAAAATAAAAATTATCACCTAACAAAGAAGTTCTTGTGGGTTGCATCGTCTCAGAATCACATCTGCATTGAACTTTCGGACATGTTTTGCTAGCCCCGATTCAGACAACCATACAAGTCAAAAATTTCTACTGTGCAATTTCTAGCGACACAGTGAGCACGCTCAACAGCTAAGAAAAGCTAGAAATTCTCATATTCCTGCGCCTTCTCAATTCAAATAACCAGGCAGGCGTCTGGATAAAAGAGTTCTACCTCCATCTATAAATCCCCGATGATGTGTGTCTCCGGAGAGAGCCTCTTTCAAGTCGAAGGCTTGAAACATACTAGCCATGGAAGAAAGACTCGTAAGCTTATTAGTAGTTGGCCGAGCTAGGCTCTGACATTGCAACTAACACCAAGTCCTGGCACAAGCTTCGAATGATGGCCTCTTGAGCTAATGTCAACAGCGTTCAGAAGGCTCCTGGGGCTCCATTCACATAAATGCGTTTTGCCTTGAAAAATTTAAATTCTTTGAATGTCGGGGACGCTCTTCGGAAGTACATTGCGACGCGACCTCTTCCAACAGTGACGTCCGACCGTCCGAGGTCCACCTTCAGCCTGGCGAACGATAACAGCGCTAAATTAGCACGTGGTCACTTGAATGGGAGAATCGCAATTAGACTTGATGTTGAGGTTTGAGCCAGGTTTTTTCTGACCCAAATGTCTCGCACCTTGACTACAGCCCAACGTTGGCACTGAGATAGACCGATTTTAATCACAGTCCCATGATACGGGACATGCACAAGCATCGATACAGATGTCTCCTTAATCGTAATGTTCGCAACACCACGCCCGAACATGAAATTCGGACAGTGATATTCTGTGAGGTTTGGGCAATTTAAGATAATCTGCAATGTGGCGCTATACCGCTGTGACCAAGATTGACTCGGCACAGTGAGCTCCTGGCGATGCTTTTGCCGAACGTGGACGTCGTCAATGGCCCATTGCTATGTCCCTGAGAGCGTCGCCACAAGGTTCTCATAGTTGAAGAAGGAAGAGGCCACGAAACTGGTGGGTTAGTAGCACCCAGAACGCAAGCTGATGAAGTCGGTAGGCTAGCACCGTGGAATTGAAATTGGAAGCTTGTTGATAGTAATTGAGACTGCAGGAGAGGATGAATGCGCACTTGGGAAATGAATGCCAATACACCGGTAGTTTAGCAATCCAATAACCACTGTTTCTTAATAGTTAGCAGAAGCGTCTCATTGAATTTGCAATTGCTTTGCGACCTCAGCATGCTCTATTGTAACAGCCCAGAATCCTCCGAGATTGCAGGCAATGCTGAAAAGCGCGCTGGATCACTATCTAGTGCGAGTGTTGAGGAGCTACAACGAGAGAGGGCGGGAGCATTAAAGCCCAATAGTTGCAACTGCAGGTGGTTCCCATTCGCATTGACAGCTCCACTCTCACAACTCTCTAAGCTTTTGTCTTCTGGAGCTTGACTACACTCAATGTCCACGACAAAACTATCATCGAACGACGTCGCCACTTCACGCCAGGCACAGGCCACCAAGCTCATTTATTCCGCCCCTTTAGCAAAAGATTAGAGAACTCCATCGGACCTCGGAAGCCATTGAACCAGCTCAAGTCAGCTGTCACACAAGCGCGCTTGCACCAGCAGAAGCTCTCAAAAATTCCTCAGTCGACAAAGCACCCTGGTCATAACGGCGCAATTGGCCACGCCTGTTTCCCATCCGAATTTTCAAACCACAGGACCATGCTTTACAATCAACAATTACGCAGTCCTGTTTTCTACCTCGTGATCAATCCGAAGCTCCCAAATCTCGCTCCTCCTATGAGTGTAGTGCTAAACAACGCCCACCAAATGCTACCTCTGATGCCTGAACATAATATTCATGCCAACATCTCCCAGCTCCCAGTACTCATCGGTGACACCTCCGGAAGGCACACTACATTGCATGGGATAAATCTCCACAGGTAAAACGCTCTAAAATCAGGTACACTCGGCATCACTTTGAACTCTGTTGCAGAGCTCCAACCTGCTAAAGAATAGCTGACGGCCTCCAACACAACGCTGGAATCTGATACACCACCGACTGACCCTACTTCCTAGAATATAGTCGTCTACAGCCGCTGTTCCATCCCAAGCTTCCAGATACCAGCTACATGAACGTTGGCGTGCACTATTAATCGACACCCAGAGTTGCGTCACACGAGTATTGAATTCCCACACTCGCTTACAGAAGCAGGGGACAGAATTCTATTAACATTATCGATTCTGACGGCCAGTAAGTTGGCGATGGTGGGCGACCAGAGCAGACTTGTCAGCTGATGAGTAGCCCCCGCTATGAGTGCGCTCCCAAAGCGCGAGTGCTTCAACCGCCAGTGTGAACGCCTCTGCCCCAGCCCCCTCTCTTTGAGCTACTGTAGCCAATTGTGGGCTTGTCAAGTCAAGGGTGGACGCTTTGTGATTGGCTCTGTTTTTTCCACCCCCTTTGATCTTGACCACTACATCCCCCCCCCTCTTTGTTTATTTTTGAAAATACTGTCAATGTATAGTGGATAGGTACAGACACAATGTGTATGTGGGTTCAATCCATATGGCAGATGATACAGACAGGATTTCATACAGTTTTCAGAGTATCATGTTGCAGACTGGCCAGGGGTTTTCCAAAATTTGCATGGTATTCTGCAGTGGACAAGAATGGTAAGTTAGTGGGGGGTTGGGGGTGTGTGTGAGTGGGAAGAGAATGATTATTGTGATAGGAAATCCAGCATGTGAGTGCTGAACTTCAACTCATGCCATTGACAATGGTACCACTCCAGTCTTGCAGTGCAGGGTGTCAATGGTTTCTGAAGAGAGTTGATGAGAAAGAGAAACCCTGACACCCACTGGTGGCAAACTTCACACCCCCCCCCCCCACTCCCTCTCCACTCCCCCTTTCAGTCGACTTTAGGTGCAGTCAACTGAGGGGGGTTGCAGGTTTCCTGTGTAGAATGTGGGCTGGATTCTAATCTCCAAAACTGGACTTCACTCTGTGAGCCTGCTGAAGATACTGCTGCTTTTTCTAGATTCAACACCAATGTTGTCTCTGTTTCTTTGTCTCCTTCTTAGCTTTTTTATTCTTATTCTTATTCCTTTCTTAGGTGGGTAAAATGATTCCATACTGGGGCATCAGGAATCCTAATTCAATGCTGTATCCTGTTCACTCTGTTGATCAGAATGGGCATAAAGCTCTGTCTGCCTCCAGGCAGGACACAGGATTTTTCAAGTGGCATGTGGCTTCAGGCCATGGCCACTGTTTGGAACTGGAAGGGAGACAATGACTTGAAGAAGCTGGCATTTAAATTTTAACTAACTTGTATTAGATGAGCCAGGAATGGTACATGGCTGATCTTGTTAATTGATACCTGTAGTTAAGGATTGGACACATTCATTGAAAATGTAAAGTTTATTGTCTAAGGCCAAAACCCATTTTTGATTTACTCTCACTCCCTGATTAAATGTATGTGCAAGGAGTGTATATACCTACACTTGTTAATGGTAAACCATGTACATTTAAATGATGAGAGAAGCATCCAATACATTATCACTTCTTTCATTGCATCTGCAAGCATATGTGCCTTTCACCACATTAACAATATCTCACATTCATTTGCATGCAACAGTCTGCAATCCATGGCATGCAATGGAAGGTGACCCCAAAAACAACCTGTTTCTAATGTTTTCAACTCCTACAAGCTTGTCATTTTGGGGATACAGAAGCAAAAGATGGGTTTTTTACTCTGTATTATGTGTAGGCTTAGATTAATTTAGATTCAAACACACTGGAAATTTGAAAATCAATTGATTTGTTGGAGAAGAAAGTATTGCTGTGGCATGTTTGTAACTCAATCTGACAGTGCAATGGTGGCATTTTCATAAAACACACATGAAGTAATCAAGCTGTCCACCACATTTTCAAGTAAATCAGCTCCACTCCACTTGATTTGTTTGTCAACAATCCCATAACCTAAGAATCCCTGTAAGTCTGGTTCAAAAACTAATTCTTCAGTTCTGTAGTTAGCACGTCCCACAATCCATAGCATTATCTACAGAACATGGCACAGTTTTGTAAGGTCTGGTCTCCACTCTTGTGAAACCTAAATCAAGTTTGAACTTTAATATCCTTTAAACTTCCACAGCAAAGGAAAACTATATAACTTTTCTCCCATCTTGAGCACAAGCCCAGGTGATGATGCTCAGGTGTTAATGTGAACACTACCAGACTTGTGCCACATTGTCAGATCACCAGAGAACCTCTTACCAGCTGAGCCCCTTACCCCTGCGTACAGCATTGAAGAACACAGAAACAACAACAACAACAACAACAACAAAAAAAAAAAAAAAAAAAAAAAAAAAACTGCACATAATTTCAAACTAAAGGAACTTCTCTCATTACAGCCTTTGAATGATAGCCCCTGAGGGTTTCTGATACAAGCCTCTCTGGTACCCATATATGAACTTTACAGATATGCTCAACCACTTCTATGGACTAACCAAACATACCCAATAACCATTAGTCTGAGGTGCAACAACCTATATTTATTCTGAGTAGATATGCCAAAGTTTCAATTAAAATTCAGTTGCTTCCTAAAAACACATTTATTATTCATTAGAATTGTTTTCCAGTGTTAATAATTTCTAACAGAGATAATAATCTATACCTGAGCAAAACTATGCTCAGCGAGTGAGAGAGAGAGAGAGAGAGTATTTATAATCACACAAAGTGCTGAAAGTCTTGTACAGAGGGAGGAAACATTCTCTCTGCCTGTGCCACTTGCTTTGTTGTTGAGGGTTTTCCTTGGTCATGCCTGCTTCATGGACTTGGTTCTAGACTAGACTAGGGCTCAGAACTGTCCAGTTTCAAGTGTGTTAATGGGTTCCACAAGGCTCCAAGCAAAGCCCCAAAAGAGAGTATGGACACTAAGTTATGTCTTCCATGTCTTCACACACCTTTCAACTTGCCAACGGATCTCTAATGTCAACTTGAGTTACTAAGTAGGGTTTGAAAGTTGCACATGTTTTGCGGCCTGGATCAGAGAGACAGAAGAAGGGTTTTGGAGGTGGGTTCTGCCATTCTGATACCATTCTATTTGATCACCTAACTGATCTGTCATGGCCCTAGTTTTTTTCTTTTTTCTTTTTCTTTTTTTTTTTCAAAAAAGCTGCTTGTATGTTAACAGTTAGGAAATTTGAATATAAGTTGATGGGGTTCCTTCCAATGTGTGGCTTTGAGATTTTCATCCAATATTTGAATCAGTTGTTGTTGCTCTTGTATCTTACATCAGGACATAAAATGATGCATACTCCATGTTTAAGGATGATTTGCATTACTGAATGTAGCTTGTGTGCATATAAACGTGTAAATATGTGTATAATGTTTCAAGCAGACACTTTAAATGGATCCATTTATGAATGTTTTTGAGATGTAGAAGGTTTAGTGAACTGGTTTGGGTTCTTGAAGAGGTGTGATTTAATTGAATTTTATTAAATTGAAAGAAAAATTAAATATATGTATTCAAATTTAAATCCCTAACAAGAAAATTTATTTATTTACATAAGAAGGGTGTGATACTTAAGATGAATGAAACCTGAATACTTGTGTATTTTTGTATTTTTGTATAAGGGTGTTTCCTCAACAAACTTGACACAATTTCAAACAATTACTCTTAATTTTTTCTGTTTTTTATACTATCCTTCAATTCATACCAAGATAAAATCATTCAAAAATAGTATCCAAATTGAAGAGTATTGTACAAATTCAGTTTTTTGCGCATGATTGATGACAATACCTCAATCTTCTAGAAAAAAACAGACATTACATGTGAGAGTTTGGACAAGAACCAAACATGAAAAATCCATAGATAGCATGAATTTGTTTTTGGTGTCTTAAATTGCACATGGTGCCCAACAGAGCCCTACTGAGACTCCATCCTGCAAAACCAGGGCCAGGTCAATAACTAGCCCTATCATTACCTCTTACACAAATTGACTCTCTTCCTTCTACATCCACATTAGAGGACATCATGTGCATAGGGTGGAGTAGAGTCAAAGTAATTCTAACAATAATAATAAGTAAATAATAATAATCATAATAAAATTCACAATCATATTAGACCAAAATGACCTGGGAGTGGTTACATGATGTTTGTTGAGCAAGAGAAGCCATACAATTATTGTTTTTGTTTTTGTTTTTTTTTGTTTTTTGTTTTTTTGTTTTTTTGTTTTTTTGTTTTTTTGTTTTTTTGTTTTTTTGTTTTTTTGTTTTTTTTTCATAAACAATCATCTGTATTTAAAATATGAAATCCATTGTGGGGGGGGGGGACCAGACAGGGCCTGCAGGGCTCAGAGTCAATACAGGTTTGACTGCATGATGCTCTGATAAGTAAAATAAAAAAAAAAATGAAAAAAAAAAAAGAGATGATTCAACCTCACATATGATAGCTCTCTTTTAGAGCAGATATGTGATGTCCCAAGTCAAACAAAAGGACCTGATTGAGCTGTCTTTTCACACTCACTCACTCACAAACACACAAGCAAAAACTTAAAAATCCACAACTTCCACAGAAGAAGATGAAGAAGAAGAAGAAAAAGCTGTACTGGGAATTATTTCAAACTGCTGTATGTTTCTTTTTTGAAAATTTTATTTTCTTCCTCCCACAAAACTGTATGCCTCAAACAGTATGCTCAGGACATACAGTTAGTCACTACATATGTTTGAGGCATACTGTATGACAGACAGGACTAAGTTACAATGCCTGTCAATGGGGATTGTTGTAATAGTAGACTACACAAGAGTGTGGCCGCATATGTAGGACTTCAACTCAACTGCAGGTATATTGCAAACATGTGGTACATGCGGTGATTTGAGTGTGAACTGAGTAGAGTGTAGAGAGCAAGAGAGAGTACTGTGTTGCAGACACAGCTCTACTCTTAGATCCAGTGGAAATGAACTCACACAATTTAGTAGCACCAGGGTTTACATATAAATAAATAAAATAGAATAAAAAACTAAAAAGAAGGTAGAAAAGAGTAAGAACATGAGAGACAAGAAAAATAAGTTGTGATATTTTCTTATCAACCCACCTACTCATTTATTTATTTTTCAAAATTCTTGTATTATTTTTTAGTTTTCTTTTTTTGAAAAATCACATGGGTCTGTAGTAGCAGAGTAAGTTTTCTTTTTTTGGTTGAGAGAGTGAGAGAGAGAGGAGAGTGAGGCATGAGGTACTGCCAGCAGTGTCTTTCAACTACAACATCTCTTGGTCTAAGTTGTACCAGATACCATGCTTTTCTTTGCTTGTTTATGTGTGTGTGTGTTTTATTTATTTATTTATTTATTTGAGAACAATACCAGGAACAGTGAAAATAAGCTTTGTGGGTTCAAATGCAGGGAGGGCAAGGGAGCCAGTACCACCAGATGTCTAAACTGATGGAACAATAGAGGCAA